CCTAAACCCTAAACCCTAAACCCTAAACCCTAAACCCTAAACCCTAAACCCTAAACCCTAAACCCTAAACCCTAAACCCTAAACCCTAAACCCTAAACCCTAAACCCTAAACCCTAAACCCTAAACCCTAAACCCTAAACCCTAAACCCTAAACCCTAAACCCTAAACCCTAAACCCTAAACCCTACTATTCACGTTTCACCTTATTTCCACTATTTAATCACATCTATCTTTTCTTTATTTCCTTTTTTTACCGTCATCCACGTCCCCTACCAAATTATACACTTTTCAATCATACACATATATTCTACTTCGTATACCTCATTTTACACTACCTTTTCACGCACCTATTACCATATCGCATACCTACTTCCACATCTGCTATCTCCATTTAACCAGCACATCTCTCTCTTATTTTTAATTTACAATCCACCTTTTTACCCACCCCTACTCTCACTTTCCAACCTCATTTATCTACTTTTTACCTCATATCCACGATTCAAACGTCGCAAACCTACTTCCCACATCCCATTCGCGCACCTCATACCTAATTCCACATCGACTACCTCAAATCAACTACGAACCCTTTCTCTCCATCCTACAACCCACCCTCACCTGTTACACCTTTCGTTTTATAATTCTTTTCTTACATCCTTACATATCTTTTTTTAACTACGCTCGTTTTTTACCTTTTACTCTACTAATTTCACACACTAATTTCTATTTCTTTCCATCCTACAATCCACTTCTCACCACAATACACTTACATCCAATGTTTCTACTTCCAACCTCATACCTGCCAACCAACCACACACACCCTGTTTCACACAACTTTTTTCACTCTCTTTTTTCCTATCTACACCAACCAAATCTATGCAGCCATCACCTTCCTTAACCCCCCCCCCCGCACTCGCGAGGTTTTTCGGTCCCTGGCTTTGATCAATATACACCATGTTAAAGTATGCGTACTTGATCTAACTATTGCCTTCCGTAAGTACGACACATTTCTATAATTTGCGGGAACTGGTTGACACAGACAGACGCACATGTTGTCTAAGACGCCCTCGGATGGGTAGCTAAATTTCAACAGGGTGTATATACTACAACTTGCAGTGTCCTTTTATTGATGGCGAACAAAAATCAAACACAAGGGCGGGTTTATGCTTGAACTATCCTATGATTGCATCCCAACATACCAGGATATGCATGCCTTGAAAACAAAAAAACTGCTGTACCTAGCTAGCAATCAAGTGACACGTCTTCCCAACCGCGGGCTAATGGCGTCTTAGCATTATTATAACGCACATCCTGCTCGGTTTTATTGAATTGGGCCACCTCCCCAGGCTGCATTCTCTCTGAGGGGTGCATATTAGTACTTACATGCGCAATATAAGTTTACCTCTTCTTTTACATACCCTGGTATATCGGACGAGATTCATCTTGCATTTCCACTATGCACAATCATGTATCATATCCTGTCTAATCTGATCGGAGAACCCAGGGCATTGTAGAGGTAGCACCATGATGGGGAGAGCGGTTCCTATTAGCAATCTGTAAGCAATCAAATTATCAGTCTAATCCACCATTCTCTGCAATTCCTACTCGTTCGTTGTGCATATTTTCACCTACACCTGTGCATTTCACGTAGAAAAAGACGTGCTGATCTTTTTCATAACATGTAGTCATATACAACGTATGAGTGCGGGGGGGGGGGTTAACACTATCTCACACTCCTCTTATCACCACCACTCCTATCTCATTCTCCAATCGCATCATCTTGCCCCCATTCTATATTCACCCCATAACAACATGTATTACACTTTATGCACACATTCTACCCTTCCTCCGCTATTAACCAATTTCATCCAAACATCAACTTCCTTCGATCTATCCTACAATCCACTACCACCATCTACATCAATACCCCCCCCCAACCTTAACGTCCACTTCCCGCCTCACATCCACCAAACCAAACCCATCTAACATTCTACACGCACCTCATTTCCACACCCCCACCAACTTACACATCAACCAACCCAATTTGATTATCACATACTCCCTCTCCATTCTTCAATTCACTCCTCATCTCCACTTTCACCCACACACACTAACCAACTCATCCACTAACCAACCACACCTATCCTTTTTTACACACCCTGTTTACCCACTCCACCCTTCCTGTCTTTGTGCAAGCTCCATACAACTAAATGTGCCTTCTCTCCAACTTAAAATGCACTTTCCAACACAAATCCCAGTCCTATCCTCTAACTTAATAGCCTGTCTACAGCATTATATCCTCAAACCAACCACTTCAATCCAACTCTACACACCACATTTCCGTACACCACACAACTAGTTTGCATATCAATCAACCACATTAAACTAACACCTTCCTTCCGCCCCCTATTGGATTACCCTCTTTCCACCTCGTCTCTACCAACCCACCAGATATTTTCAACTTAGCACACATTATTTATACACTTCAATTTGTCATTTATATTCATCAACTCCATGTATATTATACAAAGAATGCGACTGACTGTCTTTTAATATTATTTAAAATATATGTTTGGATGCTAAAACTGAAATCGGTATGATCAAAAACGCGCCCTCCTAAAATATCAGCTCCGCAGGCTTCATATTATATTTGCTCCATAACAACATTGACGCTAGCTGTTATTTATAGAGAACTTCAGCCTTTCTCTGGCACGTATAGTAATAAAAATAAATGCCCCACTGATGAAAACCTAGGGTCCCCAAATTTCAGGTGCTGCAGCCGAATTAACTATTTACCTTTCAAAACTTATATTACCTTGTATAAATTATTTATAAGTTCTCGCGTTTATAGGTTTTCAATGGACAAAAATCGTTGGCTTTCCCTCAGATCAGTAACGTGTCACTAAATCGGGGGTACCGAAATTACCACAAAGAAAATCCGAATTTAGTTTATTTTCGGCAAAGTAGATGAACATTCGTGGACCCTAGATCGACGTCTAATTTCAGGAAAGGAGACCATAGAAAGGCCTATGATGAACGTTCATCCGGGTCGTAATGTATATAGGGTGCATGGCTCTAATCACAACGACTGGGTTCGAGTCACCCATTACACCTTTTTCTCCTTTGCAAGTGTTTTTTTAGTGCCGACGAAGTGTAGACATTTATAGGTGGCGGATATTACCAGCCGACGTGCCCGATAGTACCTCCGCATTGGTGGTAGGGGTGAAGGGCCGCGGCAACAAGAAGCCAAACTCTCTAGAAGCCCGCAAAGTCATTTTACACTCTCACTCTTCATTTTTCCGACCGAAGCTCAAAACAACAATGGCGACGCAGAAGTACGCAGCCCCTTGTGGAGGTTGCGGGGCACCCGTGGTTCCTGTTCACTGTTGCCCAGTGTGTTCTTGTCATGTGCACACCTTCTGTAGGCGTCCTACCGGAAAAGAAGGCTTTGGGCAGCCTGTTATCTGCCCAAAGTGCGACAAGCCAACGCATCCCGACGGACCCGCCCCTGCCGCTACTCCAACGCCGCCAACCACTACCACAAATGTTGTTGTCGACTTGCTCGATAGCGAATCAGACGTCGAAGACAAGGCGCCATCTCCATTCTCGGAATTGGCCACGCCTGCCGCGAGCGCTGCCGCCGAGCTGCTGAATAGTAAGTGTGGTGTAGTGCCCAGCGAGGAAGCGGGCACGTCGGCGTCGGTGAAAGAAGGCGCCGAGACGAATGCTGATGGATGCGGATGATGAACTCGACGCGGATTGATGGGCGCGACGCAGGGCCGAGCTCGACGGGAAAGTCGGCGTGGGTGATGGGCCGTGAGACACGGTGCCAGAATCCAGTGCGACGCGTAATCATCCGACGGGTCGACCAGCGCACCCGGTTCTGCAAAACGCGCCGACCCTAAACCCCGCCGAGCAACGCGCCGTGGTAAGATCTTGATTGCGCCACGCAAACCAGATTGAAGGACGGCAGTGCAAGCACGACAGAAGTAAAGATAGGCACAGAACGGTAGGCTTAGCAAGCAGTAGTACAGAGTAGCCAGTAGCAAGGACATAGGACAGGGTAAGGCCTCAGTCCCGAAATTTCTATGAACCACAAAGACCTCCCGTCTTGTCCGAGGTTCCAAGGGAGCCACCAAGCGCCGGCAAGTATAGCCGCCTCGATATCGCGGCCCCCCGTCGTTTGCTGGTTCGGGTGCTCACCCCCCACAGACCCGTGCTGGAACAAAGGCACGTTAAAGGTATACCGTTTAGGTGGGCGCCCGATAACGCGCTGCCTCGACGAAGGACCGCACTGGCCTGATAACCGCCGTGCACAAGCCCCCCTGTAGGCCCGATAACGCCACACAAGCCCAAGGAAACGCCGAGGAAACGCCGGCCCGATAATGCCGCACGCCCGACGGGAACGCCGAGGAAACGCCGGCCCGATAACGCCGCACGCCCAAGGCTCGATGCCCTACGACAAGGAACAAGCGTCAACACAAGAACCCCCAACTCCGAAGCCTGCGAAGACTTGGGCTTGTATTTCGAAGATAAGCTACTCCAACAACCGGGAATAATTTGCTCGGCGCGACCGCTATCGAGACGCGCCGAGTTTGTGCGAGATCGCATTCGCGAGATTTCTGCGAGGGCGCTACTCCACATAAGCACCATGACGACTACGAAGCCGCCACTACGTCGCCGACTCTCCCCTTCGAACTATTTGGTCGCCATACTGAATCCGTGAGCAGCATTGCTCAACGCCGAAAGGTTGTTAGATGGATGCAAAAACATGAAGCGATCCGAGGGGGTGAAGGCGTGTTTTTTAAGGCCGTCCCTCAGTTTCCTGCGATTTTCATCTCGGCAACGAAAGCTGCCAACCTGGCCAAGGCGTTGGGCTGGTGGAAGAAGAGGGACCCGATTTTGAACGCAGACCGGGGAATAGTTGTAGTCTCGGCTCATCGACGTGGGGGAAGACGTCGTGTCAGCACGAAAGTGATTGGAGGGCGTGGGAGACCAAGGAGCGCCTGGGTTGAATGGCTGTACCCTTTGCTTCTGGGCGAGTTTGATCGGCTGAGAACGCTTGGTGTGAAATTTGACCCCCCATTGCTCCTGCAGTACTCAGCAGCTTTGACTCAAGCTCATCCCTCACCATGACTTTGAACGGCTTGAACACAGCCACATCCAGTGGCTGGTACATGTGCGTCGCATTCGGTGGCAACGCTAGTAACATGATCCCCATGTCGAATGCAGCTCCAACGGACTCTGGTACACAATAATCCGTCAAAACCGATTAGTAAGTCCAAATCAGTTTAGAGAGGAAATTAGCACCGCAACTTCAATACGTACCGGCAGTCGAAACTCTCGCCACTCGCGACCGGGTACGTATAAATCCTCGATCGGCCCACACGAAGGCTGCGTGTCATAAGGTTCGTCATCTTCAGCACTCTGCGACTTTAGCAGTGGTACCATGACCTCGTCCGGAAGGCGTGCGGTGCCATGGCATAGATCCAGCCGGGATCATGATGTCCATCCCAAGGACCACATCCACCCCGGCACTGTGGTCCATTATCCACATTTCAAATTCGTAGACCTGCTCCCACGACGTGCAACTCTCCAAAAAGGTCGCAATCCAAATTGCTTGCTCTGCCTACGAAACGGCCATCATGGGTCGGCCTAACAACGCTGTGAGCGGGTTTAGGTCCACGGGATTGTACCCGCCCTCGCTCTTCAACATGACCAAGCGCCTGAGAGTCTACACGAACGGCGGCGCGAGAGGCGAGGTCGGGAAAGAGGCGTGGCTCAAGCGACAGCGCGACCCGGTTTGACTGGAGGCTCGCTCGGAGATCCTGACCCTGCCACCAGCTGCAGAGACGCTAGGTAAGAAAGCTAGATTGACTGTTGACATCGAAGGAGAGCTGGTGTCAAACGATGCGCTTTGCTAGAGTCAACCTACTAAACTCGGTGCTCTCGTACACTAAAATGATCACTGCACTTTGTCCCTCAATATGGTTCACTATATCTTCTGCGATAATTGGTCGCTTACATATTGTAGGCCACTCCCAGACTTATTCATACTTCCTCTACTACGATTAACCTACATGAATAATGCAATCGTTCTAACAACGCCGTAGAAAGAATTTCCCGACAGCATCGAGAACCATGCACTCAATTGGTGTTTTAAGTTAGTATCACATTTGGTCCATCTCATGTCGTCGCATCCCCGCGACCCTTCGCTCGGCTGTCGCACGGTGTCATATTCGGTCCGTCTCACGGTGGCGCACTTCTGGAAATACTCCTGGGACGGTTTTGAGACGTTCCATTCCTCGCGTTTCACACTGTCGCACTTTTGCGCCTCGTTGCCACCGAATTTCTCCACCTGCGGCCCTTCGTCCGGCTGTCGCATCTCGTCACATTGGAGCGATTTTCCATCGAATTGCAAGCTTCGCGCCGCGTCGCCCGACGAATCTTCGACGGGTTACTCGGTTCCAGGCGCATCAGCCGGGCGTCCCGCATAGTCGCTTCGCATAGTCGCTTCTCTGCGACCCTTGGTCCGACCGTACGCACGTCGTTATCACGACGGCTATTTCCGTCGTCATCTCGCGTAACCCCGTCGAGGGGCTGTACTTCGGTGACTTGTCGTCCGGCGATGCCGCCGCTTCAGACACACACGTCGGTCCTGCTGGCAGTGAGCTCTCGCGACAGCAACTAGGTACAATCTCGGCTCACTGCCCGTGTGATCTTCCTCCTCTTGCTCACCTCGACCGCATCGTATTCCAAATCTTCGTATGTCGGCCATCCATACATTGGCCAGACAAGTTCGTCATCCCGCCAGGTATCGTCCCCGTCCCAGGTCACTGCACACGCCAGGCTCTGCCAATCTTGGTAATTTCGATTAGTCGCCAGTACGAAGCGGGGCGCGAGCGGAAACACATCGGAGGGTGTCCACCAGCCTACTGTCATGCCTGCGTCGAGCGTTATTGTCTCGTCCGTGACGTTGGTCACCCGCAGGTATGTTTGTCGCTCGATCTTAGTCTTAATCATGGTTGTAACCCACGTTTTGCTGCGCGTGACCCACAGGCGCGGTGCATCCCGGCTGGAACGCAGGCGGACGTCGAGTGTTCGCCCTGGGTCGAGTTGCTCGAGCGCATCGAGTGGGACCGGTCGCACTCGTGCGTCGTAACGCGATTGCTCGGGAGTCGTCGAGGCCCGCGCCGTGCCCAACGGTCGCCTAGATGTCGTCGCAACCGGCACTAAGACGGACCCAGATGACCCCAGCCAAGGTTTTTGTCCATGCGCAGCTGTGGACCATCGAAGTCGCGGAGGTGCGGCCGATGTGACGGAGCACGTCGTAGTGGTTGCAATCATCGCCCGCTGTCTGAGTGCATCGACCTCAAGGTTCATCCGATCGTCGAAGTCGCTGCCCGAGCCGAGACGCGGCCGAGGACGTGTTGTAGAGCGCTCGCCGACGGACATCACGGCGTGATTACCAAGTTCTTGCTGGTGCATCTCCTTCGACGCGTCCCGCGTAGACATTTTCTGCGTCGAGTGTTTTCGCGTCGAGTTTCTTGGCTCGACATGAACCGCAGAGACATGGGTATTCGACGCCTGAGTTGTCGTAGACTTCGTGCTTGCCTCTTCCAGCGCCTAAGGAATTACATCCTTCAGATCCGGCAGAATTGTGAGCCCTGTGACTATCGAAGTCCGGCGCCACGAAGGGGCCCGTGAATTTTCTCATCAGCATGGGCTTGAGGAAGACCAAGATTGGGTCTTGCTCTAGCAGACGGAAGAGCTCCGTACGCACCACGACGTACCGCACTTCCTCGACGGTGTACTGGCGTCCCGCGTCCTTCTCTTTCGGCTTGGACAGCGACTCCTCCGCCGAGTCCGGCGCGTGCCGCTTCTTCTTCTTCTTCTTCCTCTTAGGCGACTTGGGCTTGGTGGCGGCCTTGGCGGTGGGTTGTTGTTGGTCGTCGGCCTTTGCAGGTTTCCGACCAGTAGGACCGCGACTCCCTCGTCGGGAGCCACATCGGGAACGACTAACTGTTCTTCGTAGCCCTCCTGGTCGTCGGTGGCCCCATGGCCTGTCGTGAAGGTTCCCTCAGAGCTCCACGACGCGACAGGTCTCTCACTGTGCTCTCTTGCAGTCGGCGACCTTCCAGCCGACCGCGCACTTGCCTCCGATGCCACTTGGATCGTTAGTCCGTCATTCGAAGTAGTACTCCCGGGTCGCGGCACCATTGTAGAGTAGCGCCCTCGCAGAAATCTCGCGGAGTCGATCTCGCACAAACTCGGTGCGTCTGGATAGCGGTCGCGCCGAGCAAATTATTCCCGGTTGTTGGAGTAGCTTATCTTCGAAATACAAGCCCAAGTCTTCGCAGGCTTCGGAGTTGGGGGTTCTTGTGTTGACGCTTGTTCCTTGTCGTAGGGCATCGAGCCTTGGGCGTGCGGCGTTATCGGGCCGGCGTTTCCTCGGCGTTCCCGTCGGGCGTGCGGCATTATCGGGCCGGCGTTTCCTCGGCGTTTCCTTGGGCTTGTGTGGCGTTATCGGGCCTACAGGGGGGCTTGTGCACGGCGGTTATCAGGCCAGTGCGGTCCTTCGTCGAGGCAGCGCGTTATCGGGCGCCCACCTAAACGGTATACCTTTAACGTGCCTTTGTTCCAGCACGGGTCTGTGGGGGGTGAGCACCCGAACCAGCAAACGACGGGGGGCCGCGATATCGAGGCGGCTATACTTGCCGGCGCTTGGTGGTTCCCTTGGACCTCGGACAAGACGGGAGGTCTTTGTGGTTCATAGAAATTTCGGGACTGAGGCCTTACCCTGTCCTATGTCCTTGCTACTGGCTACTCTGTACTACTGCTTGCTAAGCCTACCGTTCTGTGCCTATCTTTACTTCTGTCGTGCTTGCACTGCCGTCCTTCAATCTGGTTTGCGTGGCGCAATCAAGATCTTACCACGGCGCGTTGATCGGCGGGGTTTAGGGTCGGCGCGTTTTGCTCGGTGCGTCTTGCTCGGCGGGGATAAGGGTCGGCGCGTTTTGCAAAGACGGGGAGCTGGTCGACTCGTCGGATGATTACGCGTCGAGTTGGACTCTGGCGCCCTGTATCACAGCGCATCAACCGCGTCGACTTTTCCCGTCGATCTCTGCCGCGCATCGCCCCCCATCAATCGCGTCGCGTTCCACTAACTGCATCGAGTTCTATCCTCGCGTCAGTCGGCTTTCATCTCGGCGCCTCCTCTCACCGGCGCCGACGTGCCCGCTTCCTCGTGGGGCACTACACCACATAAATAATGTGTGCTAAGTAGAAAATATCTGGTGGGTTGGTAGAGACGAGGTGGAAAGAGGGTAATCCAATAGGGGGCGGAAGGAAGGTGTTAGTTTAATGTGGTTGATTGATATGCGAACTAGTTGTGTGGTGTACGGAAATGTGGTGTGTAGAGTTGGATTGAAGTGGTTGGTTTGAGGATATAATGCTGTAGACAGGCTATTAAGTTAGAGGATAGGACTGGGATTTGTGTTGGAAAGTGCATTTTAAGTTGGAGAGAAGGCACATTTAGTTGTATGGAGCTTGCACAAAGACAGGAAGGGTGGGGTGGGTAAACAGGGTGTGTAAAAAAGGATAGGTGTGGTTGGTTAGTGGATGAGTTGGTTAGTGTGTGTGGGTGAAAGTGGAGATGAGGAGTGAATTGAAGAATGGAGAGGGAGTATGTGATAATCAAATTGGGTTGGTTGATGTGTAAGTTGGTGGGGGTGTGGAAATGAGGTGCGTGTAGAATGTTAGATGGGTTTGGTTTGGTGGATGTGAGGCGGGAAGTGGACGTTAAGGTTGGGGGGGGGTATTGATGTAGATGGTGGTAGTGGATTGTAGGATAGATCGAAGGAAGTTGATGTTTGGATGAAATTGGTTAATAGCGGAGGAAGGGTAGAATGTGTGCATAAAGTGTAATACATGTTGTTATGGGGTGAATATAGAATGGGGGCAAGATGATGCGATTGGAGAATGAGATAGGAGTGGTGGTGATAAGCGGAGTGTAGGATACGAATAAGGAAGGTGGTGGTTGGATAGATTTGGTTGGTGTAGATAAGAAAAAAGAGCGTGAAAACATATGTGTGAAATAGAGTATATGGGGTTGGTTAGGGGTCTGAGGTTGGAAGTAGAAACATTGGATATAGAATGTGAACGTGGATTGTGGTGAGAAGTGGATTGTAGGATGGAAAGAAAGAGAAATTAGTGTGTGTGAAATTAGTAGAGTAAAAGGTAACAACTGAGAGTAATTAAAAATTATGTAAGGTTGTAAAAAAAGAATGATAAAACGAAAGTTGTAACCGGTGAGGGTGGATCGTAGGGTTAAATTGAGGTAGTTGATGTGGAATTAGGTATGTGGTGCGCGATTGGGGTATGCGAAGTAGGTTTGCGATGGTAGAATGGTGGATATGAAGTAAAACGTGAATAAATGCGGTTGGAAAGTGAGAGTGGTGGTGACAGAAAAGGTGGGTTGTAAACTATCCAAAATTCGGCGCAGAGCCCCGAATCCAGAACGTTCATGATGACGCAAAGGTCAGAGTTCAGCATTCGAGCATACAAAGTTGAGATTCGGGCGAAAGTGCGTAATGTTTCACGATTTTGCGGTTTTTGCGGTTTTTGAGCGCCGGACGAGTGGTACATATGTATGAGCGTTAGAAAAGTAGTGGTGTACATAGAAGTACTGCATATATGATGCTGAGGATTCCGCCGCAGTCGAGGGAGGCGAGGGAGGCAAACCGACAGCTAGAGAGTACTTTTCCCGCGGAATCCGAGGGAGGCGAACGCGAAATCCAAGGGAGGCGGTTCGCCGTGATTGGACAAAATGCGACAGAAAACATAAGAACTACACGCTCTATAAGGCGCCATTTACGATCCACAGTGCGAAATAGACGATATTTACGCCATGTATTACACGAACAAACATATGGTATACCTTTTGTGCGTATCACAGTAGCGGCTATGTGGGTGAGTGGCTCCTTCAAGTCTCGTGAAGCCACAGTATGCAGTGTATACAAACACCATCTTTACATAGACGGGGTGATTCGCGGTTAGGTGTCGCTTCGATTCCCCGCAATACGTAGATAGTTTTATTGCCCTGACTTGCGCCAAACGATCAAATATTGACTTCGGTATGCCTCCTCAAAGTGAGGCGTACGCACCCCCCAGCCGCCCCAAGAACGACGACAACGACGATGGAATCATTTCCGCGCCACACGGTTTCTGGCTATACCTTTAGCGACCTCGCTAGTGTATGTTTGGCGCGCATGAAAGGTCAAGCTGCGAGTCGAATCGCTACGCCCACCGCACAAACTGTGTTGATTCTGCTGCTCGATCCTCGGACGAAGTTGTCGGTGGGGTCGCTGGTCTCCCCTTCGAAGGCCAATGGAGCGAGCTAATGCGGCTGCGACCAGCGAATCGGATGCGGACAAACAGCGGGTCTTGGACGTTCTTGCCGCTAGTAACAAGTTGCTGGTTGATGCACACCGCGAGATGTATTGCTCGCGGAATGCTCGAAAGGGCGGGGCTGTCGAGAACGCGACTACCGCTGCGTCACTATCGAACTTTGATTTAGGTCCGTCTGCAGATGATGAGAAGGTGATCTGCGGAGCCCCATTCCGGCCCACAGCCGCAGCCACGCCGTTGTCGACGATTCACGACGAAGCGGACAGTGTTTTGGACGAGTGGCGTCAATACACGGTGGACTGGGTTGCTACGGTAGTGTTGCACTCGACGGACGATTAGAAGACGAGCGACGACTTCACGCCACTGCTAATCGTGCGTCATAATGGAGTCGTTTGCTGGAGTGTGGAGGCTGTCTGCGAGCACGTGGACATCCTCCGTTGGTTTCGTGAGGTTGGCAGTGTTCGCTTCCCGTCGATCGCTGCCCTCGCTCGCATTTGGTTGGGAAGGGCTCCCTCCAACGAGTTTCAAGAACGCGTTTTCTCGACCGGTGGAATCGTGATGAGCAACCGGCGCACTCGGACGGACACCCATCGCGCTGTGATGCAGGTCCTGCGGAAGCACAACAGGAAGGAGATCCTGTGCATGGAGGCTAACGACAGCGGAAGCTCGATGCTAGACTGAGGCCTACTGTCCTAACGTCGACGGAGGCTTGACGAGATTGTTGGACTTCGTGGTTGTCATTTTGGTGGTCGTCAATTTAATGGTCGACAATAGTAATAATCTGATGATATTATACTACTACTGTATTAGACCAGCTCGCTGACTCGAGCTTATTATTTCGTTATTAGCTTTGGGAGAGGACACTGGATATTACTATAGTAGTTTGGTAAAAAAAATCTACTATCAATCTCTGCCCATGGCAAAGCGCCTGTGCGTGCAGAGAACCCTAGAAGAGCAAGTGAGACTGCTAAAGATTTGGCAACAAAACAAGCATTGGACTCTCACGGAGGCTGCCGCCGAACTAGAGGTTGACGAGGTCACACTGCTTGGCTGGCGCGACAAACTGTCGGAGCCACATCAACGATCCGAAGCAATTTGGCTGCGTTTACAAAAGGAAAGGGGCGACCACCGCAGGGGCGATAAAAACAGGGCCAGCCCTCGGTGTGGCAGTCACTGTGGCTGTCACCAACGCGTGAGCGTGAACCGAAGTCGACCGAGTGTAATGTCGATGAAGTAGTGCAGCTGAAGCAGCCTGGGGAGCCGCAGGAGCCTCGGTCGTCGTAGCCTGAGACTCCGGAGGTGCTGCAGGACCTGTATGTTGTGCAGCCGAGGCTTCTGCTTCGACGTCGGAGCCAAACATCTCTTGCATGAGGGCTGCACGATCCTCCGAGGTCTCCGAGCTATCCGACGACCCTCCCTCTGGCGAGTCCCCGGGAGGTAATAAGCCACCGGGGCCAGCAGCAGCCCTCGTTAGAGGAGCCGATGTCGAGCTTCTCGAGGCCGACAGACCCTCGTTGTCACCAGCAAACCAACGCTAACCAAGACTTGGGACACGATCGACGCAGCTTCGGGAACCGGGATGGCAGGCAAAGACTCGGTGGTGGTAGCAGGAGCCTCGGAAGAGGTGCCTCCAGCCTCCACTGTACCGGCCGGCGCTTCCGGGATCTCGCCGGGCTCAAGTTCACCTTACGGGACGTCATCTGGACTTCCAGCGCCGCCGAACCCGAAGTCGGGAGACCCCTCGTCCCGCGGAGGCGGAGACCGAGCTGGCTGAGAAACTGGAGCAGCGCCCATCAACCTAGACTATAGCGGCACGTCCGAGTGCTCGTACGGAAGAGGCTGGGAATCCAGCCGGCTAGTCTGAAACGTCGTTGAGGGTCGTGGCGCCGACGGAGGCGGTGCAAGAACCTCACCCGATGCTGACCGAGGGCTAGATAACCCAGCGGCCGCTGCAGCTCTGGTCGACCGACGGTCTACCGAAAAGCTTGGGCGGAGAAGGCTGAGATGCCGTGCCCTCGGCGGAGCCGACTCGGCTTGCGAATCGCGCTTGCGCTTGAACGTCCCGGTGGACTCAGACGAACCAACAGACGCCACCTCCGAAGCCGCGGGAGCAGATGAACCCTCGGTGGGCTCAGCCATCGACACGTCAGCCGTCTTGGACTCTTGCTCGGACGAGGATTTGTCACGGCGCGGACTCTCCACAGTGACCGTCGGCGGAGACAGCCCCAGGAGGTTCCAGTCGATCTCGGCTGCGGAGATGCCAGCCGAGGCTAAGACCAAGGTATCCACGTCGAGCCCATGGGCTGCCGAGTGTCGTCGAAGAATGGAGTTCGCCCGTCGTAAGCTGTTGCTCTCGTCCGTCAACGCTCTGATGCGAGCAGGGATGACGTCGGCTCGGTCACGGTCGGACAACTGGTCTCGTAGCTTCTGCAACTGGGTGTTGTAGGTAACGAGGCTTGCCTTGATGCGCTCGTGAAGCTGGGCGTTCCGACGAACAGCAGCCGCCGCGTCTGCTTCTGCAGTTTGTGTCCGGCGATCCAACGATTGGGTAATGTTTGCATGCTGAGAGATGGCTGCGTTCGCCTCCAGCAACTGCTGATTGGAGTTCGCGAGCTCGGCACGCATGTCCTGGAGATGCTCGAGCGCTTGGTTGCAGTCCGAGTTGGCCGTCACGAGGAGGTAGTCTGCCCGTTGGCGGAGACGCATCTCCTCGTCGAGCTTGTCTTGGGTTTCGACGAGCTCCTCTCGCAGCCGATCGTTGTCGCGACGGCGATCCACCAGCTCATCCGACTTCGCGAGAGGAAGACGTACAGGGGGCACAGCCGCGGCCAGCACCTCACCGACGTTAGTGGCAGCTTGCAGGTTGCGAGCAGGGATGACTCGAGCTGGAGGCAAACGGGCAACACCCACGACGAGACGAGCGAGTTCCAGCATCTGCTGCTCGCCCAAGACAACCGCTGACGGAGGAATCTCGGCCGTGCCAGCACCAGCTCCGGCGCGACCTCCTACAGCTGCCTCGCCTCCACCCCCCACCCCACCGACGCCCCGCGAGTTGCCAACGTGCCCCGAAGGCGCGGGAGTTGGCGACGGTGGAGCGCTGGCGCTTGGTGGTGGTGTCGGCGGCGAGTCGGGAGCCTCTTCAATGCGAACTGCCGGCGGAGGAGTCTCGGTCGCCCCAGCACCAGACTCAGGACTACTTAGAGGGGCCGGTGGAGGGTCGACCGATGTCTCGGAGGCGGCAGGAAGGAGCTCAGGGTCACCTGCAGGCATGGCCGGGGCTGGTGGCACAGCACCAGCGGCGATAGGAGTGGTGGCACGCGCCGAACGAGCCTGGCGCGCCGGACGACTACCCGAAGTGTCGGTGGCGACATCAACGGCTCCCTGAGATGATCAAGAAAGGTATGGGGTTAACAACGAGGATCCGAATGACAGTGAGGAGCGGCAGGAGTGAGGAACGTACCGGCCCGGAGCACTGGAGAGCCGGAAGAGCAGCGGCAGCCGCGTCGGCGAATGCGCGCGACGGAAGAGCCATGGAGTCGAAGAACCGTGGACGCCTAGACGCTCACCAGCGTGGGAGGCTTGCGTCGAGGCGGGGGCAGATGTGGTATTGGAAAGTGGCAGTTTCCAACGCTGTTGACCCGTTAGCCCGACAATTAAGTTCAATCAAGGGCAATCAAGGCAAGGTCAAGCGAGAGACGGAGATGGCTGCTTCTGATTGGATGGTGACATTATCCTCGGTAGAGTGACAATCAGTGGCCGAAGCCTCGTTGGGTCCTAATACAACCCCCAACGAGGCTTCACGGTACCCACTTTTAGGTACAGATGCATTTAGTTACGTACTTGTAATAAAAAGACAGTCTTCCCCCAAAACCAACAAGGGTAAAGTCCGACTTCGGTAAGTGTAGCTAGCGTATTGTAGTGCTTGGACACGCTCGGCTGTGTGTGGATGCCTGTCGGGGAGCTTATTGTGCATTGACCGAGGGTTTCCTTGGCAGCGCCAAGAGTTGGGGCGGCCGGAGAGGCAGGAACGGTATTAGAGTATCGTTCGGTATATATTTGTGGGATTAGAGTGTCCCTGAGTGAATTAGGCTACGTACCGTGGTTTTACCTTGGTCCCCCTGTATAAGGCCTAACACGCCGGTACTCTTCCTTTCTGAGGGACTGCAGTGGGGTTGCGCGAAAGCGCTATATAGTATCCTAGCCTTAGCTCGTGGCTAGTGGTCGGCGAGTCAAGCGTGAGTGCTGCGTGGGCAACGATGCCGTGTGTATGATTTGGCATATGTAGGTCCTGCTTTTGGGACAGGTCCTAAATTTGAGACGATGGTGGCAAATCGGTCCTGCTTTTGGGAATTCCTCCTACCGCAACCAAGTCCAGTCCAAGTTGGGGTGAGTACCGGGCACCAACCCGAGGGTAATTCATCCCATTTCATTTCCTAGCTGCAGTTAAGCTCGTCCAGACCAGGAAGGCCCCGCATTTCATATTACTAATTACCTTTTCACCCCGGTTAGAGTAGCCTCGGGTGGGAAGTATTGATTTCAGCGCTATTGTGTGATAGTAGGTAATTGGTTGTGTTAGTTTTCCTCAGTACTTGAGGGTGGTGCGCGTGAGCCAAAGCCGACCGGGATTGACCAGTGTCTTGGCAGTGTCCTGGAGTGCGGCTGGAGTTGACTGGAGTAGTGACCAACCCATTCACGGTCCGAAATAATAAGGAAGGGCTACGTGTTTGTATATAACTCTGTATCGGTTTGTATTGTTTGGTTATCTGAGGGGGTCAGGCGACGTCCAGGAAGGTTACGTTCTGCTCTGCTACCTAGCGACCTACAATTAACAAGACAACTCGTCCACAGTTGAAGAGCCCTGGTTGGGAAGACAAACGAACTCATAGGGACTGTTCACAAGGACACACGCCACCCCGGATGGAGGGTACATCTAGGTGTATAATCTCCGGCTAGGGTTTATTCTGGGTGGACCCCATTCGGGAGTCTACATCCAGGGCACGCTAACTATACACCTGGGTGGTCAGGCGCTCACCCGCCTCGCCTCAGTATGTTCGGCATGTACGGAATGTTTGCCGGACAACGGTTTGACCTCGGTCGGCATGGCGGCACTTAGGGACAGCTCATTGATAGAAGTTCCTGGGGTTGTGAACGAGGAAGCAGAACAGGGGCAGCATGGTCAGGGCGATATTAGTCAGGGGGCACCAAATTCACCGACGGTAAGTTGACCTACAGTGAAATCACAACCATTTGCGGCTACTAATAGTTCTGTTTTGAAAGGTGTGCCGACGGACATCGAGGTGATGGAGTCAAACTCAAACGTCTCCCTTCCATGTGAGGTCAATGACAATCGGAGTGCGCCACATTCACCGACGGTAAGTTAACCTATAGCGCTTGTGGCAGTCACTTCGTTTACTAACCGTTTTGTTTAAAAGGGTGCGTCATCGGACAAGGAAGTGCTGGAACCAAGCCCGAAAGTCTCCCAGCCAGCTCAGCTCGTCATGGGGGAGGATTCTGCCAGCGCACCCGCTCCAAATCCAACAGCACCCGAGCGAGCAGCAAAACGGGCAAGACGGACCCCATGAAATTCGCTTCAGCTGTTAATTGAGGCCGTGCGAGTGGGAGCGCCGTACGCGGAGTTCGCCTCTCGTCTGCGCAAACTAGCAGTGCGTCAAGTTGAGCCAAAGGCGTCACTGCTCTCGGTTGCATGTAAACCCGACAAGCCCCCAACGCTGCCGGTCGAGGTCACGGAAGTGCTACCGTCGAAGCTCCTGAAAATGTGCGGGACAAAAAATCCTACGTTTGAGTCGAAATGGAAAAGAACTCGTGGTCGAGCCATTTTGCGGCAAGACATTGTCGTCATTGTCTGTGGAATTAAGTATTCTATGGAGGCATTTGATGCGATGAAGAATTGGTATACGATTCTTCAGCGCTACGACGAACTCGACCGCGCTTTGAAGTGAGTAGCTTGGGAGAAGTACAATGTATTTTCTCCAGTCGATGGCTTTGAATAGGAGACGCGTATGGTCACCCAAGACATGAGTCTTCACCTGCTGCGACTGCGTGTTCTCCAGGAGCACTGGATTTTGGTCACGTTCTGTGGCAAAGAGCAACTAGATGAAGCCTGCTTGGACAGATCGCTTGTCTGTTTGGTCAGACAATACCGCAAGACGAAGATTGCCGTTGCAGTGCCCGCAAATGTAATTCGTATGCCGCACATGGACCTTGAGCTGGCTCGCGGTCAGAGCGCCTTCAAGTTTGCCACGGCTCAGGCGGTCCCACCCGCCATGGTGGTCAACGTGAACGCGAACCCCTGGTGCAGTGTAATCGTGGATCTGTCCACGTCAACAATCACCGTGTTCGATTCCCAGCAGTGCGGCGACCGCCTTGTTGCACTGCACAAACTCATCCAAGACAAGATCGAGCCTTTGTTTCCTCCACGTCACTATCGGAATAGGACGTACAGCACCTTTGCCATTCGAGATAACTACAATTGCGGAGTTGGGGTGTTGGTCTTTTTCGAGGAGTTCCTGTCTGGAAACCTGGCGCGATGCGTCACAGGTAGCACACGGGACGCAATGCAATACTTCCGATATAGATATCTCAGTAAGATCATTGCAGGGCTTACTAATAAGTAAAGAGCTCATCAGCAATTGCTCGATCGAAGCTTATTATCAAACTTCACCTTAAATCGAAACCTACGCCTTCATGACAGCCTAAGCTTCCGTTTGAACTGCACTATGATCACCCTGACGCGCTACCCCAATTGAGTAGGCCGCACTTTGGTCGTGGCCGATCCTTGACCACGGACCCAGAGCGTTTGCCGCCCGAAGCCAACTTCAAGTTGTCGAGCGTCCTCTTGCAGATGCCGTAGACGATCCGATCGCCGCCCTCGGATGCCTCCAGGTACGGACACGAGCGAGATGCCCGACTTGCGCCTCACCTTGAACGTTAAGGGGTTCTGCGCGTAGTTGAACGTGTACAGCGAGTCTGTTGCGGCCGTGCCAGTGCTGTCGGCCACGAGCGTGCCAACCGCTGTCTTCTCGGCGGGATCGACCTAGCCGCGACACTTGGTCAAGCGAGATGCTGCGGAAGGGCCTGACATCTGCGTGCTCACGAGTGTCTTGTAGTGGTTGTAGAGCGCCTTCTAGTTGTCCACCTGCCTCCAGAGCATCACATTACTCATCGCGCCCACCGTGAGCGCCGGCGCGTGCAGCGCGTAAGAGTAGAGGTTCAGGCCAAAGGAGGTCGCCGTGCATCGGCGCCGATGTCGCTGCCTGCTGCTGTTGAATGGACAGCCTATCGATTCAACTCCCCACATTTCTTTTTCCCATCCAACAATCTATTTCTCACCACCACCCACATGAACTCTCACCAACCATTTTTTTTACTTTAGCTTTGTTCCCACCAATCAACCACATATATTCTATCACACACATCGTTTTGAAATCCTACCTTTTTACACGAACCAGCTCCATCCAACTCCCACCTTACTTCTTTCTACCTTACAATCTACTTCTCTTCATTGCCTACACACACACCAACCAAAACACTCACTTCCCACCACATACCCACCAATCTACCGCATATATCCACCTCATTTACACATTACATACTATCTTCTACAATAATCCACTCCACTATAAATAAAGAACTACAATATACTTCTAACCATATACTTCAACATACCTAAATCAAATTACATATTAATAGATATTTTGGATTATAGTACATAATTTGGTTTATTATCGACTAAAAGGTAGATAATTTGGTTTGTTACCACTGTTACCCATCAACTTATACTAACACTATGTATACTACCACATATTCTTCATGTACTACTATGTTCACCACTTCTCATATTCTACTACACTTGTATTATATACGGATACACTGGGGACCCCCAAAGCGTAACCTTCGTATGCCCGAAATTAGCAGCTATCAAATACTACCTCCGGAAGGAAAATACTGCACCTTTCCAATGAAATTACAGTCTAGCAATAAACGATACCCTTGCAAAAGCGATGCAGGTTTGATTTTCGAATCTCCCGCCTACCGGATCTCATCCGATCCTCCCCCTCTCGCTCCCCCGCCTCCCCCACTTTCAAAGATTCCCAGTCCTCGCCAAGATGGAGACCACCGACGACGAACGCCAAGCTGTGTGGGAGTATCTGCTGCTTCGTAGCACAAATGGGGTACTCAAGCGCGGTGACATCGTCAGAACTGCTGCCTACTTTCGCCTTACCCGCTTCACCGTCGCTCGTATCTGGGAGCGAGGTCGCAGCTCGATGGGCTCCCGAGTTGCAGCTGTCGTCAAGTCCAGGAAGAGCGCGCGCGGAAGAAAGAAGCTGGATCGTGCGACCCTGTGCACGCGCGTGGTTGAAGTCCCCGTGAACGACCGCGAGAACCAGCGCCGTGTCGCGGCGGCGTCTACTGTCAACAAGTATCTTATCCAGCGGCTCCTACAGGAGGGGTACTTGCGACGTGCGCTTCGTCAAACCCGTCCACGGCTTACGCCGTCGCATAAGCTTGCGCGTTTGAAGTTCTGCGTCGAGCACGTGAAGCTGGGGGCCAACGGGAACCACTTCTTTGACCCCATGTACGACGTTGTACACATGGACGAGAAGTGGTTCTACGTGAAGAAGATTGGGCAGAAGGTCTATGTTCTGACTGGGAAGGACGGGACGCCTGCGGAAGAACCCCCCCGTGCAATACGTGCACAGCAAGCGCTATATCAAGAAAGTCATGTTTCTATGCGCTGTAGCTCGGCCTCGGGGCGACTGGGATAGGAAAGTCGGCCTCTGGCCGGTTGTGGAGACGTACATCACGCAACGGGCAAGTGTCAACCGCGCTGCTGGTGTCGAGGAGCTACGTCCGATCTCAATCACCTGCGCGATATCGCGCCGTATGCTGGTTGACAATGTGATCCCTGCCATTAAGTCGACGTGGCCGCAAGAGCAGAAGGACATTCCGATCAAACTGCAGCAGGACAATGCGCGACCACACGTTGATGAAGACGATCCCGAGGAGCTGGCAGCAGGTTGCAGCAACGGCTGGACAATCAAACTGGCGAATCAGCCTGCGCAAAGCCCCCAGCTCAATTGCCTTGACCTAGGCTACTTTGCCAGCATCCAGTCTCTTCAGTCGCATACGAGGCTCCGAATAATTGAGAATCTCATCGACGAAGTGACGCGTGCGTTCGACAACACAAAGACCGAGACGCTGGACAAGACGTTCCTGACTCTACAAATGGTAAAGTTGCAGACCATGAAGTGCGGCGGTCGGAATGACTTTCGCCTGAATCACATGCAAAAGGACAAGCTACTTGCCGCTAACAGGCTGCCCGTAACGCTGCCGTGTGATACCCAGACGCTCATCAACGCTCACATGGACATGTCCACGCTATCTTCACTACAACTGGTCCCTACACCCCCTATGTCACTGTTTCCGGCAGCACTAGAACCCACAGCATTGCGTTCTGCCTCACCTCATTCTGATCTCGACCCCTTTCTTTGCTAGTGGTAGTGCACACTGAAACACAACCTTTGCATATCTTATAACCGCCAAAAAGGACAAGGCGGAGCGCTGCGTAATTTTTTTTAAAGGTGCAGTATTTTCCTTCCGGAGGTAGTAATGGATAGCTGACCCGACTCTGGCACATTCCAGTGGTATCATTGGATTCCCCGTATACAAAAACATATACGTCCAGGTTTTCACGTCTTCGTACCCAAAATTGGCTCCAATCATATGTTGGTCTATTTGGCCCGTCTTGGACACTAAACCCTAAACCCTGGATTTTATATTTACTTTCATAACTTATTTATCACATTTGGGAGTTTATAAATTATTATTAGACAAAAGTCGCTGGTTTTACCTCCGTTTAGTAACATGTCACGAAAGAGGGGTACCCAAACTTATTCTACTGATTACCTTTATTAAGCTAAATTGAGGCGCAAAGGAGCTGGATGAATAAAATTGGCAGATGTTACTGATACCGAAAAAAATGCCGAGTCTTACCGCTTATTATCCGAAAAAAGCTGTACGGATTGCAAAGCCTATGCTTTTTGAATGGGGATTCTTACCAATCGATCATTTAACTTACGTATTCTATTTTGCCCCTCTATCCTTTCATATATTTGATATTATCAAATAACACGACTGTTGAAGGTTATCGCTCTAAGCACCCAAAAGAAACTTGTGTACATTGGTGTGTTGCGACAGGCAGCATTGTCTAGACTATTTTTGAATGAATGGTTCTTTAATAAATAGTCTGACCTAGACTATATTTTGCTAAGGCTATTTATGAAGCAACACACACACAAAAGAGTCTTACTCGGACTTTTCATCGACCGGCTTACCTTCGAAGTGCTCGCAGTGTTTCGCGATAATATCTTGAAGATGCGGGTAGACCTGGCCAACTGACCAGGAACCATCGATTCCAAGTGAAAGTCCACATTGAATCATCGCCTTACGCGCATAGGACATCCCATTTTTGTCCTTTTGAAGGTTGACGGCTTTCACCGCCTCTGCAGCCAGCTGGAGGACAAACTTTTTCCCTGGATTTTGTAGTTTCCCAGACCATGAGCCGTTCTTCCTGACTTTGTTTTGCCAACAATTGTCCTTGATCAATTCCATCTTCTACTCATTCCACCTCGTTTTCCAGGCGTCCTTTATCTTGAAATCACGAAGGAGTCGGCTGGCTGACACAGGTCAGTGGTGTTGGGCGGAAAGAATTTGAGATCAGCGTTGGTGTTGTCGAGTTCGGCACGGCATTCATCCGCCTCAAGATGGCCTGAGCTCTTATTGAGATAGATCGTTTTTCAAAGTCCTCTGGGGTTGGCACGCATAGCTCGTTTCTCTTTTAGATATTCACGAAAGAGCTTCTGTGTCATCCACCCTTTTTTGCTTGAGCGATAGCAAACACCAGGGGTCCTGTCGGGGACGCCTCGAATTGGGTAACTCCCCTCAGAATTCATGAAAGTCATCATTGGGGAGGGGGATGCGTGCGCTGGGCCCACATGACAGGCTAACCACCATCGTCATTCCTTCACCGCCGAAAACGACGTCCGCATATTTGACCTCTGTATCACCGGAAAATCCGAGCGTTTTTCCATTGTCGAAGTCCACAACAAAGTGGGTTTCGTCGATATTCTCAATTACGTTTTCATCCAGGGTGCCATCGGCGAAGCCACGTTGCAACTCTCCAAGATATAAGCGATCTTCTTCTCAATAAACAACGCTTTCGGCCCGCTAAGCTGTTTTCTTCCGGTTTGTGTTCTGAGCACGATCACGTAGGCCTCCATGAAGCACTGGACCCAACGTGTGTTGATCGTCTAGATTATCAGCGCGCCTTTTGCGTCGACGTTCCTAGAGTTGTATGAGTCGGTTCCATCTCGAATAATTTGTTTTGCAAGTTGGCAGACTGGATACTTTCGAGGAGTCGAGAGGGAGTCCTGCACCATACTAAACCATGTCTAAGGACCCGCAATTGGCACTTCCGACGCCGTGCGACAATGGATTCGCAAGCCGATCGCAAGTTTGGACCGCTGAACCCAAGGTATACTCAAGACAAGACATTTGACCCCAAGCATAGTAAACAGAAGATATTTGCCCGAAGAAGAGAGAGAGAGAGAGAGAGAGAGAGAGAGAGAGAGAGAGAGAGAGAGAGAGAGAGAGAGAGAGAGAGAGAAAAAGTAGCTGATAAAAACCAAATAGAGTTCCTTTTACCCTGTACTGCGCAAGTGACTTCGGCCAAGCCTGCCGACGGAAATCCGGAGGACCCGAGACTACGACCGCGGGACGCTAAGGGCACATCAACGGCGAAGGACAGCCGTCTGTGTGGGCTCCATCAAACTCAAGTCCAGTTAGGTGGTGACCAGCGACGGCCTTGAGCTTCCTGGGGTGATCCATCTATTCCATATCCTAGTTGGGTCACTTGCTGTGCTCGTGGTAGCCCATTTCATATTATTCCAGAGGGTATTCTGGGGTGCGAGGTAGTCGCCTCCAGATTTTGTATTGACTGCTTGTGTGAAGGGAAGGTAACTGATAGTGATTGCATTTTCCTCCTTTATTGGAGGTGGTGCGCGTTTGTGTGAGTCTCAGGGGAGCTAGGCCCCTGAATTTCAGACTCGAGTGAGCCTAGTGTGTGTGACCCACCGTCCAAGGGTCCAAAAGAATAAGTGACGGCTAGTTGTAGTGTTTGTATACTCTGTATTTGTTGGTTTTATCGAGCTAGGAGGGCATTTGGGTAAGGTGTCTTCTGAGTTCCAAGTCCCAGAGTTGACTGAAATCCTGGACCCTGAATTCGTGATATTCTGGGTTTCAGGGGATCTAATTCTCTTGGTTTGCCTTTTGGTGTGGAGGTACGTTCTGAAGTAGACGTGCGCTCCCGCACGTCTTCGAGGCTACATTTTCAACCGGTGGAGTGCCGTTCCGTCGAAGACAAACGAGCCGACAGGGATTACACAAGGTACCCACGCCAACCAAGGAGTGTGATTCTCAGGGTTTGAAGCTTTGCGGCTGCGAATCTCTGGGTCTATCTTCTTGCTGTTGACTCTCAAGTCGATTCTCTGGGTCTACCCCTGGGGAACAGTCTTGGGCTGCGCTATCGAACCCCCCTGGGCGACAAAGGTTTCATCGGCCTCGCCCCAACACTGCACTGGATTGACGCCAACTAGAACCTACGATACCTCACCATATGATTCATACACGTGAAATACCCCCACACCACTGTTTGGCTAGCTGACATTTCATTGACGTTGTAAAATCCATGGGTGGAGCGTTTCTACTCACTGTATGGGCGATCACTACCGACAATGCTACGAACAATACAAGCGTGGCGCGGTCAATCAAGGCGAAACTATCTCATGAAGTTGGAGAGCACGCTGAAGCGACGATGCCGTCATCAGCTGCTGCCATGACGGCTTAACCCTATTGCGAACCGTCTTACATTTGTATAGCATACAATTCTCTTTATATTTTTTTGCAAATGGGCGCACCATGCGCCTATTGACAAAAGGGAGGTACTCGCGGTATTGGACCTTTAGTGTGTAAGAGATAGGATAGTGTTATGCGGTAGTTTTTTGTGTACAATCAACCAAATAGACTTGACTGAAGTATTGGATGATACATAAACATGTACTTTTTATTGGTTGTTACAAAAGACGGTATGCAAATGCTTACGCAAATCACAAAAGGGCGCATCATGCGCCCATTGACAGCGATTTTTTCACCCAATTTTGAAAATGATGCCGATGGGCACATCATGCGCCCCTTGGTCGCGATAGGGTTAATCAGATGCAATGGTCTCCGAGCCACATGGTGTAATTCACGTGTGGTGTCTCGCGCATGTATTGCAGTTCGCTGTGAAAGAAGACCTAAAAGAGTGCTCCATCGTAGACACGAGTATAGGCCATGTTCGAGATGTACTGAAGAAGATGACGGAATCGATTGCGCTGACAGTCCACGACACGATCGAGAGTTTTTTTCTAACCCCTACATGTATTGGTATCACAAAAAACGCCTCGCTTTTCTGATTGCGAAAATGTGTGTCTCACTGTTTGGTACGGCGTCGTTTCCACAGAAACAGCAGTCCAATTTCCCCTGATTTATATAATAGCCACCCCTTAATATGTGCGCTGATTATAAATCTGACTTGCATTTGGGCCAATCATTATCACCCATATGATTTTTCTCGGCCAATGATAATGTAGTGGATTAGTCGCGGAGTCATGATCATAGATAAATGATACTTTGGACGGATGGTCGTTATTCTCATTCTTCCACCGATAGATCGAAAGAAGACGTACAGGGCTACAAATGTATCGAATCATATTTCTTAGAATCAGTGTCTAGACTTACTTATGGCTATCTAAAATATTAGCTAGTGTTGTCATCACTAGTACTGCTTTCATCGCTCTCGGAGCTGTCCGAATCCTCGTTTTCACTGCGGCTACCATAACTTTTGATCTAAGCATTCAGATCCACCAAGTGGGCTCTTGCTTTGTCAATGCAGCCTTGAACAGTTTTCGACGACAAAGTTTTGAAAGCTGTATCAAGCCGACTTCTGACCTGTTGGAATGTAGTATCCTTGGTGTACTGGCGCTCAACTTCTCCCTTTACATTTGCCCACACATACTCAATCGGCTGCAAATCAGAGTAGTGTGGAGGCGTGAACACTACTTTGTGACCCTTCTTCTTCGCCATCGTCACAATCTCTGGCTCTACGTGCTCAGCAGTGTGCCGTGACAACTTTTCCCACATGATCGCTCTTGTATCAGATTCAGCGTAAGGCAAGCCATAGAACTTAGAAGCAGCCTGGATGTCGGATCTCCGACTCCCTTTTCGGGGTGTGTTGGGCGGCAACTTCTTGTGATATTTTGCGTTATCCATCCCGACGCGGCAGTGGTGCAGTTGGCGGTCTTCCAGACAAACGAGCAGCGTTTCAATCCAAATTTTGAAGTAGTCATGATTGAACATCCCGTGATAATCCATATTTTGCTTACCTCCCTCAAAAAATTTCAGCGTCTCCCGCAAAAATTGTGCTTTGTCAGCGTCAGTATGATCGGCATCCGGGAGGTTACGGTCTTTGTCGATAATGGCAGCGATGAAGCAAAATCGGCGACCCTTGTGCTTCTCCTTTATCACGTTGGGTCATAAAGGGAGTCATTATGACTGGAGTAGTTGTGATGTATATAACTTTCATCGAGATAAACCGTTCGAACGCGATCGGCACTTTCACAAGCCATCAACTGCACGTAGCTATCGCGCTTAGCTTCGGTTTCAGCTGACAACCGATATGTCGACCCTTTCCGCTTTCCTCGCTTGAAACCACATCGTTTTACGAAGCGTTGGACGGTGCGGAGCGCTGAAGCCGTAGCAGCACCGTCGGTGACGTCGGCGACTAGCAACTCTTGCTGTATGAGGTGGTACATGACGTCCTTGGCTATCGTGCGCTCACGAATCGCGCTGCGCTCACGAATAAACTCGCGCGCAGACTTATCCATATCAACAGTCGTCAATATATGGGACGGCTTCTGCTCACGGTTAGATGGCGCCGATGCCACGGGTAGAGACCGAAACTCGTCAAAGTCATTCCAAATCAGACGGACTGTGTTGGCTGAGCGCGACAACAGACGTCCAACTTTGACTGCGAGTGGCTCTTTCTGACGTAATTTCACAGCACCAGACTTCAAGTTGGCTGTGACGATGAGGACGTCAATACGCTCCAGGAGCGTGAGAGCTCTGCCGCGGTTATCTGTTGTGTAAGTTTGAGCTTCTGCGATGATCTCCGCCTTGGCGTTAGGAGTCTCAGTTCGCGCTCATTTGGAAGGAGGCATCTTGATACCAGCGTACTTGCTTTGGAGCGGTAAAGTGGCTCAGTTGTCATCGAACGACACAACCCATATTTAGCTTACGGTAACCCCGATTTATCTGACAAACGGATACTGTTAGCAATATCTATTTTGGCGGGGTACAAGTTTATCAAGTCAAAATAGCCTGATATCATTGGACAATATATAGGTGTGGGTAGGTAACGATAAATGTGCTCTTGCTGCTCTGTCGCAAGACGCCGTCTATCTATGCGTTTCCAGCATATTATACGCAGCACAACCCAAAGCAGCTCTGAAAATTTGGATCAAATTGCATGTAATCCGGAAAATTAATAGCAGAAACACCTCTCGATGTTGTCGCGGTCTGTGAAGAAGGAGCTGAGGAGGGTATGCAAGGTGTTGAAGGTAACCTTTCGCAAGCCTGAGCTAGATTGCGTTACTCGTTGGAACAGCACCTGATAAATGGTGCTGTCAGCATTCACCTGCGCAAGCCGATTGAGGAACTGCTCCGCAGCATCCGTGAAGGTCACGAGGGTACACGGACTACACCATCAACGCCGGCGACCGGCTTGCTGCTTCTGTCGGAGACGAAGCCTAGGCAATGCTGACCGAGTTCTGCAGCTTCCTTACACCAGTCAAAGGTACAACTACCATGATGTGTGGTATAGCGGTTTCTGAGTCTGGAGGTCGGTGGCGACAGGCGGCTCGGCCCAAAACGTGTACATCCGTCACCGACTCGGGAGTTTCGGCAAAGTACAGATCGCATGATCTCAAGGGTCGGCGAGCGAGTAGACTTGGTTTAAGTATTGGAGGGGCTGTAACAGCCCAGTTCCACTACTCCATTGCCGGTTCAAAACGGCGCTAGTCCACTTAAATTTGGTATTGACAAATTTGTAAGAAAATCCAAACGAAAATTTATATTTAAATTTTACAACAGGATTTTCTTACGATGCAAAGTGGTTTAGTAGCAGAGCAAAATGGTGCAACCGCGCTGCGAAAGAAGCTCAAGTACCGTACTGCATGTCCTTCATTCGCTCAGTAGCGGCCACAGCGTGCTGGCAGTGAATGGTCATCTTGTTCACCAGACGCAGGTCCATGCACTTGATCGCGCGTCTGGAAGCTCGCTCCAGAATCTCCATCCGAGCTGCCGCAAGCTGTCCACGCGGGCGAGCTGCAACAAGCTCATCTCGTGACCACGCAAGGTCCGCCTTGATCTTTCGCCTTGAGCACGCTAAAGCAGCCTAAGCATTGGTAACAGTTAACTTAAGCGTAACGTTAGGATTACCACGATATCCAGAAAAAAGTGCGTACAGACCCTTACCTTCAATTGGGATGCACATTGACGAATACGGTGCAAGGCGCAGAAGCACCAGGTTATCGTGCTCAGTTACAAGCTCTTCCGTCTGCCTATGGGCGGAAGCGCTGTCCAGCACGATGACGACCTTCTTACTAATGAAGTGTTCGTTGTGGGTAGGACACGCCTTTACCTTCTCGTAGACCTCGTCCGCGAAGGCAGCATTCTCAGCCATCTGAATGCTGCCGCGCTCAAACTGGTGGTGTACCAAGCCTACCTCCGTAGACACAGCGCACTGAATCTGGAGGTTAGCGCCTTTGGAAGGCGGGAGGACCACCGTGGCACGCTTGTCCTTTTCACCCTTCCTTATGTACGCTTGCAGTACGCATTGAAGCTCGTCTCATCGTAATATACGATGAAGTCGCCTGTACACATGTGCTTGCGCAGCTCCTCGGCAAAGGTTTTGCGTTTAGCCTTGTCCACTGCATTGTTGCACGTCTGTGGCTCCACGCGAACCTAGGGCACAAGCCAAACAATCCGTAATTAAGCAACATAAATAATATTACAACACACATACTGCAAAGTAACTTACCTGTTCGAGCGTGTAAAGCTTCCCAGTCAGCTTATCCCTGATTGGGAACGTGCTCAGGTTCACGCGGAGATCCAGCCAGGCTATGCCTTGCAGCTGCGCGAGAGGGTAGGTGCAGTTCTCGTCAATGTACTCCTCAAGCGCCGCCTCGATGTCGGGAGTACACTTGACGCATTGCGCTCTCACCCCCCCCCCCCCCCCCCCGCGTGGGAGCGACTCCACGCGTCCGTTGGCCATAGAGGCGACGTGCAGTGGTGGGCGACATCCCGTTACGTGCAGCCACCAGTCCTCGCCCGCCTTGTAGGCGGCAAGGACGCGAGCCCGAGTTTCGGGCGTGTGCGGGGAGCAGGGCATGGTGATGGAGCGGGGCGGCGTTTGTTATCTTTTGAGCGCAGACTTGCGAATGAGGTCATTTGTTAGTGGGTGCCTTAGCCGTCAAGCTAAACGCCAACCACCAGTTCGGGTTGTGCAAAAACCGCTTTGCTTTGCGTATTGTTTCTGAGCTAAAGTTTGCTAAGTAACATTATTTTAGTGCTATTTCACAAATTACTTTTCCACACTGAAGTGGAGTAGCACCATAGTGGACCGGCAAAGGTGTAGATATTTGTATAGGAGCCCCAATGAAGGGCCTTTGAGCCAACAAATCAAAACTAAATATAGAGTGGATTTTTTCAAAATCCTAAAATAGCGGCACGCGGCGTCTCTTCAAGGTACGACTGCCCCCGTGGGGCTAGATCATGACCACCGCTGAGATCGGCTATCCGAAGTGACGAAAGTTTTCTCGGTCGCCGAGAGCAAGTGCGTATAGCGGTTATCTGGATTCCGCCCCTGGTGAAGAGCTCGTCGAGCGTACGAGCGCGGGTTTCGGCCTGCTCCCGACTTAGCCGGTGCGGTTTTGCGTCAGCGCTCCGTAAAAGGCGAGAGCCACCGTCCATCCTTTGGTGGAGGGCACGGGTTAAGATGAGAAGGAGAAAGAGAAGAAGCGACAAGGAGAGGTTGGCGAGAGAAGGGGAGCGTGCTGTGTGCTCGTGGCACGGCTAATGGAAGGTGCCTGCCTAGGTAACCACTGCACAGACTGGGCGATCTTCGTATCACCCAACAAGCCTGCGCTCCCTGTAGTGTAGGTGTTGTTGGTGTGGGAATGGGAAGATAACGAGTTTAGGCACGTCTGCTACACCACATATGTCTGGAAACAAAAAAAAACAATCCAACCTTTGGCATCGCTGTGGTGGTCGTCTTTACACTCATCTCCAATCACGCTACCAAGGTGGCTCTCAATGCTAACTCCAGCTTCACCGCGAGTTTCGCGACGGCGTTTAAGTCGAAACTAGACGAGTATACGGAGCATGTAAAAACTCGCGAAGCTCCGATAGCCGCTGTTTTGGACCCACGGACCAAGTCACTTCTCCCAAGCATAGTTGACGACACGGGTACCATCCGATAGTACGCCTTGGACGAATATGACGCAGTCTACAAAGCCCGATTCGAAAGCAAGCAGCGATACCCGACTCAGCTAGCAGGAAAAACGCGACGCCGCCTGGAGAGGCATTTTCCAGCTGATCGACGGCTCGTTCGGGTCTGACGAGCCTGCCAACTTTGAAAGAGAATCCCTCGCGTCAGAACGGGATCGCTGGGTTGCTCATGACGACGAAACAACAAACCCCAAGACGAGCCGCCACGAAATCCGCGCGTGGATGAGAAGCTTGCACCCGTTTTCAAGCTCATTACTCGATTGGGGTTTTAGCCACTGGCCGCTACGATGTCGGCTGCATTACCGACATTGCAAGCAGCGACAAGAACAATAGCAACAAAAAGCGAGGTGCTCTCCAAGTCTGTGCGCTTCACGGGCTTGACTTGAGTCGCGATGGGAAGAAGATGTGTAGGAAGACGGACGCTAGAACTTGTTGTCAGGAAGGCAGTAAATTGAATTATATGTTGAGATGCATCAGTGTAAACCTGAGAGAAAGCTAACTTGAAAATCCTCTACGACAGCAGCAGACCACTACGGCTCACACGGATGTGCGAGCGGGGGCAACAGGACTCGTCCCACTAGAGACACGCATCCCTCTCATACTCGTTTTTCCCGCAAAGTCTCGACCAGAACCTCCCCCACAGTACACGGCGAAACACCGATCACCTCCTCCCGTCAGGTTCGAACTAGATGAATCGTTGTACCACAAGACACTTCAATACGTCTGACACTAATGTCGTATTCACGGCGACTCAATGCGTGCGTGGCCGCAGCCAAGTACTACCGCCGTACGACATCCGCGTAGCAACGAATCGGATATTGAAGACCAAACTGACGTTTTCTAGTCGCCGGGGACACCTCCACTCCCAATCCGGGTTTTGGTCGACTCGATAGCACCATCAAAGATGTCGGTCATGGCACTGGGCGCCACCCCATCTCACAAAATGGATGTCGGCGGTCAGGGACAGCTTGTCGGTGACCAAGTTCCGGTCGCTGGTGTCACCTCCTCTCCTAAAACGGTTGCCAGTGGTTGGTAACCAAGATCGGCCATCAGTCATGTCCCGGCTGGCAAATTTTGCTGTTCACTCGAGTGTCCGGTTGTCATTTAAGGTGGCACAGATGGAGCCCGCTCTACCGTCTTCATCGCCTTGCTTTGAAGACAGTTTTGAGCCGGACCACCTGGACGGCGAGTATGAAGTCGAGGCTATCCACGATGACCGGACCCCGTTGTCAACGAGTACTCACCAGACCATCCGAGAGTTCAAGGTGAAGTGGGTCAGCTATGACGAGCCGACATGGGAACCGGCGTCCAATCTGTCGTGCGGTGGCCTCCTGTATGATTACCTACGCCGGAAGCGAAGCGACCGACATTTGCAAATGGTCCAGGTGGCCGACGTGGAGTAATCCCGCGCTCCAACGAGGATTGAAATGCTCGCAGGGGCAATCCAGCCCGCGATGTCAGACGAACGAGGCTACTGGAGATGATGATTGAACTGCCTGCGAGGGCTATCCAGCTCGCAGTGACAGACGAAGAAAGTTACTGGAATCTGCATGTTACGCGTTAAGTGAACGAGTCGCGATGGAATGGAGATATCGGAATGGAGCCAGGGACAACGGACGACGCAAGCAAACCTCAGTCAAACCCTCAACAGACGAAACAAGTTATGATGAAGCGACTAGGAGGGCGACCGAGGCTTTGGGTGCAGCAGTCGAAGTAGAGCGGCCAGGTGTCAAGATGGAGACGTCAACCGCTCTTGCAATGCGGCCCTCAAACACCTCCGAGAGTGCGTCAGAAGCCTCACTAAGACCGGTCTTATAGTGAGTAAGACGGGTCTTATGGATCTGTAAGACCGGTCTTACGGATTTGCAAGACCTGTCTTAGTTTTCACAAGACCGGTCTTAATCGATGGACCAAGCCAATCACTTTGGCCTTGGAGTGGACATGCTACTGAGTGGGAACGCTGCACGAGGCGTAAGCGACGGCGAGAAGAGGTGAAACATGTGCTGGTGAAGGTAGTGGTTGATCGACCGAGGCTTCTGGCGCAATAGCCAAGAAGGAACGAGGCCGGGCATGCACGCTCAAGCCCGTGACTAAGTATGCAGCTGAAGATGGAGTGACCCGTGAGTGGTGGAGTGCAACGGCTGCGAACCAAGCCTCGTTTGAGGCAGCCAAAGCGGTCGAGGGCTGAGAAGAAGCTATGGGAACCGCGACCGAGTATTGGAGGCGATGTACGCTGACGCGAGAGACGATTATGGAACGAAACGACACTTATTCTGATTAAGATGAAGCCTATGTCACCGCCTAGAAGGTTACGAGCCTCGGTTGACCCTGGAGAAGAACAAGCAGGACGGAGCGGGGCTGACACGGTGCCCAACGACGTTAGATCTCCGACGCAGCCTGAGCCAGCACGCCAAGGTTCGACTCCGTAGTGGATGCCCCTTCATCCGACTCCTTGGTCTCCTCGTCGGGGCTAGGAGAGCGAGCTTCATGAGCCGCAGCAAACTCGGCGACCCACGGGGCAACGACCATCGACGTCCGCAACGACGGCTCTATCACGACCGACGAAGCTACAGCCTCCCTAGTCATTCCTCGAGGAACAAAGTCGTACTCGATTCATCCTACCCACAGCTTGTTGACCATCCGATCTCGCAACCGATCCGCACGGTAGCTGCGCTGGTTGTGCTACTTGGCCCACTTATTGCGAAACTTCACAACCAACGGGTTGCGGTGACCGAGTGTTGGAGCGAGGTTGTTAATGGATGCTTTGACGGCCTTCGCCCGAATCCAATGACGACGCTCCCACAGGGCCAGCCCGAGATCGCCCTTCTCGTTAGGGTGAAAGGAATTACCCTGGAACTGCCTGCTCAGGCGAACGAGGAGTTGATGTCCGGTAGCCTGCCGAGAAATTGCTCGATTTGGTGGGTACCCAGTCATTGATCCGGGAAGAGCTGGCGCAGAACTTGGAAAGGGTGAGCGAGGTTCTCTCACTTGCCGAAGGCATTGATCCCGTCCGCCGAACACGGAGCAACTAAGTCGTCGTCAAAATGAGAGGCACGCTAGCGTTCTGGATCAAACTCCCACACTCTTGACCGCCGGGTGACACGAATCCCGGTTCGAGAAACAGTGACGCCAGGTTGCTGAGCTTGCGCGACCCTGCCGCCGCGTCCGAAGTCAAGACGAGTGTCTTCGGTGACCCCACGAGCCAAACGAACCCTCGGTCGGCCTTCGAATTCGTCCACTGACTTGAGTCGTGAAACATGCACCACCAGGTAGAACCGGTATCCACTTCGGTCGGGTAATTCCAACTCATACGCAAACTCGTCGACCTTCTTCTTCTCGCGGAACGGTCCGTGCCACCGATGGGCTAGTTTCTTGGTCAGTCCTGGTCGAACCCGTTCCATGTACAGCCACACTCTGCTCCCAGGCTGCAAAGAAAGCCTCGTTCTCGTCACTGTAGCTCCACCATGGTCAGGGGAACTCGATGCTCGGTCGACCGAGGTTCTATTCTCGCCGACGCCTGCCGTAGCTCCTTCTCCTTCCTTCCAAGTGATGCATTGTGCTCTTCAGCTCTCCGAGCCTATTCCGCGGCTTGGTACTCCTTGGCCATCCTCAGGGCCGTTTCCTGCTGTCGGTTGACCTCTCGGCGCCATGCTAGCGCGTCAGTTTGACAACCGAAGCCTCGTTTGAGTGACGAGGACATTGCCTTGAGCGTCGACTGTGCATCCCACCCATGAACGAGGTAAAATGGAGCTTCCTTCCTCGTCGTATCACGGGAGTTATTGATGGCGAAGATCAGTCTTTCGGCGATCTCGTCCCAATCCTGCTGCAATGGGTCTTCAGCGTATACGCGGACTGACTGCATGATCGTCTTCATCGATCTCTCCTGCTGGCCGTTGGCCTGCGGTCGGTAGCTCACGGTCGCTCTCGACCGAGACTGCATCATTTCTGCGAAGGCTTGGAAGACCTCGCTCATAAATCGAGGATCTCGGTCATGACGGATCAAGGACGGTGCCCCAAAGCGTCGGTAGACACACTCCTCAAAAGCTTGCGCAACGAGTAAGGCAGTAGTTTCAGACATGGCTTTGCCCATCACGGATCCCGTGAACGAGCATTGGAACAGCAGGAGAGCCGTGTTGCCACGGCGACTCTTCGGTAGCGGTATCACGAAGTCCATAGAGACTAGTTGGAAGGACCTCTCGGCTAGAATGTTCCCTGGCGAGTACCCGCGGAACTGAGGTCGGCTCTTACTTGTACTGCAATCAGGGCACGACTTAACGTGTTTCTCCACATCGGCATACTGGACGATCCAGTAATAGTCTCTCGCCGCTCGATGTAGCGTACGGGTAATACCATGATGACTGCCTTCGAGTGAGTCATGACAGCTCTGCAGGACCTCTTGGATCATCGTTGTGGGTACTACGAGTCTCATCTTCAACTCGGCTTGCTCGTCGTCACTTGAACGACGGCTCGTTCTAGTGTAATACAGCACATCGTCCTCGCTCAACACAAATTGGTCCGCCATTTTCCTTGCATCTCGTGCTGCTCTTTATCCAATCTTCGCGTCATCTCCCCGGAGCACTGCCTTCAGATTCGACCACCGTAACTCTTCATCTTAAGCGGTGGCAATTCTCCTTTGGCGTTCTTCCTGTACTACCAGCGGGTCAATGTCTTCCGCGTTCGGTTGGGCTGGTGACATCTCGGCGCGTAGCGGTGAAGCTCCTGCTTCATTCTGAAACTCGTTCGGCACACCATTGGCTTCTATTCGGTGAGATGCGTCTCCCTGATCGGTGACCGAAACTTCATCTGCAAACCGGACGTGTTTCTCCTTTGCTCTCGCTTGTACGTCTGGTCGTCACAGTCACATGTCCGGGTTCAGTCTCGTTCTGCCGTCTGTGGTCGGTTTCTCTTCGCACAAAATCGAAAAAATTCTTGCTACGAGGTTTGGCAGAAGCTACCACAGCCCATACTGCGTTGACCGAGGGTATGTCCTCGACGACGCAACCGTCAGCAACCTCGATGACTTCAGCGATACGGTTCAGCTTCATCAGCTCTAATACTGGGTCGTCCGACGATACCACCGTAGCCTTCTTGCACTCGAGAGTTTCGCTTGCCAGAGAGTTTGCCGCAGCGTTAAACTCTCTCACCACATGCAGGTACTTCACCGACCGAAGCTTGGCCGTGAGGATTTGGTGGTGACTGAGTTGTTGCAGCAATGACTCCTTCCGACAGGCTATCACCCCTAGGGCTTCCTGGATCGCGAGCCTCGAGTCACCAACGACGAGTAGATCGTCGGCTCCATGCTGTAATGCAGCAGAGACGCCGTTGTTCATCCCGGTGTACTCAGCGAGGTTGACAGTGGTGTTCTCGAGGTAAGCGCTCGCAGCAAGCACTACAGGCCACTCTGGCAGCTTCCATAGTATCCACGAGCAACTGCCATATCCACCGTTCTTCTCGGTCTTCGCAGATCCGTCAAACGACATAACGAAGCCTCGGTAGGACCGCGGTAGGCGTGCGTAGAGCAGATGCGGGTCCAAACGAGCAGTTGCTGACCCTCGTATCCGGGGTGTGACCAACGCCAGTGACTTATCCAAATCAACGAAGTTCGTCAAGCCGGCTTGAAGTAGCTGGGCAAACGAACAGTCCGTTTCTTTGACTCATTCGACCAACAGGTGCCACGGCGATAGCAAGACGGCGAACTGGGTAGCCCGACCGAACAATGTCTTGGACTTGTGGACCCAGTCGAGTGTCGAAAACCGAGTGTAGACCCGGATTCGCTGTCCAACGAGTTGAGTAAAACACACCTTCAGTATCAGCAGAAGCGCGAGGACCTCTTTCTCGGCCGGATGATAATTCATCTCAGCATCCTTCAAAACACGTCCGCAGAAGCGAACGGGGTGTAGTTTGCCCTCGTGCTCATGCATCAACGTGGAACTTAGAGACCAATCGTTGGTGAACAACATAACATGGACTTCCTTCTTCCGGTCGAAGTATCGTAGTATCGGCGCTGCCGAAACCTTCTGTTGGAGCATCGCGAAGCTGTGCTTGGCCGCGGTGAGGTCACCCCCCGGGCGGAAGTCCTCGTCCTTAAGCTGGTACAGCGCTGCTCCATAGACCGCAAAGTCTTGGATAAAGCGACTGTAATAGTTGAGTGCCCCAAGGAAGGACTGCATTCATTTCTTCGTTGACGGGAACGGAAGCTCGGTCACCCCAGCCAGCATCTTATCGTCCGGTCGGATACCTTCTGCTGAGACTTCGTGGGACAGGAAGTCTACCTTGGACTGCACAAAGATGCTCTTCGTGATGCTGATACTAATACGGCACTCTTCAAACCGTGCCAGCAATCGGCCTAGCGTCGCCAAGCACGACTCGAAAGTCTCGGCACCGAAACAGATATCATCCACGAATGACCGGCGACTGAATACTGGTGTCAACGAGGAGTCAGCGGGCTCCCCGTTGGCGAACATGTTGGCGATAGGGCTGTTGACCAGTTCGGCTACAGCTCCCTTACCAAGCGAGTTGTCTCGGTCGGCCTCGAACTTGGTCCGGAATGGCTTTGCCGTACCAGTCGAAGCCTCGTTCACCCCAGCATGAGCTTCCTTGTCATGTTCTTCAGCTAGACGCATGCGCTCCGAGAATTTAAACCATTCTCCCGTCGGTTGGACGAAGCCCCAAAGCGCGTTGTCAATCATGCGTTGATAGATCATCGGTGCGTTCTTCAGGCCGAAAGGCATACGCAACCATTCGAAGTGCCCCAGTGCGCAGACGAAAGCAGAGATCTTCCGAGCTCGTTCGGTCATCATAATGGCCCAGAAGCCGCTAGCGGCGTCAAGCGAGCAAAACCACAAGTACGCCTCCATGTCCGTCAGCAAGTCATCCACCAAGGGCATGGCGTACTCCATAATCTCGGTGATCGCATTAACGAGTTTGTAGTCGATACACAGGCGGATATCCACCCCATTCTTCTCCAGGACGATGACGATTGGCGACGCCCATGGGCTGTCTGAGAAGGAGATAAGCCCGGCCTTCAACAGACCCTTCACCAATTCGTACAGCTTACCGAGGAAGCGAAGCGGGGTCCGCCGAGCCTTCTGCTTGATTGGCGCGTGCCCCTGTATATTGATGTCACACACGACACCGTAGGCTGGAGGCGGCAGGGCGTTGCCGCTCGCAATCAAGATCTTCTCGTGGCTCTTAAGCACATCGACCAGGTCCGTCTCCTGCTTCTCACTGAGCTCGTCGTTTTGGACGTTCTGCCCTGAGTAATCCAGCGTCGTCTCCGACGCTTCGGTTAGGTCCGGCAAGAACGCCAGCTCTTGCGCGTAGTCGGTAAGCTCAATCTCGTTCGTGACGTGCTTCGAAACGTCGTTCACGGTGTCATCACCTTCGCCAGACCCTTCTGCAACCATGGCATGCATGACCGAGATATAGGTCGCCTCCAGTAGCTGCCCGGGGTCATCGATCGCACTTACATCCGAATCATGGAATTCAGTGTCGGCGTCAGCGGTTGGGGCACCCGCGCCAGGAGAAGCCATACGAACAGCGCGTACGGGAGTACTTCGACAACAGTAGACGCGATGGCGGTGTTGTCGTGCACGCTAATCTTCACAGCTACTGCAGGAACAACATCGCGGAGTTTGCTCTAGAAAACCGGAGCTCGCAGTCGACATGGATTGGCCGATTTCTGAAGCACTACGCGTCGGATTCACGGACAGGCAACCCGCTCGCTAGGCGGCAAATCTCCGGGTACGTCCGAGTCATCCGAAGCGATGTCCTCGTCGTCCAAACCATCGTTCGACCCACCAGCACGTTCCACATCGGTTGTATCAGCTCGAGCGACCTCGACCGAGCCTTCGCTGACCCTGGGGTCGTCGTCGTAGTCATATACATCGGGTTACGAGTACTCATCATCCAATGGTGCTTGTTGACGGCCGTCTGGCCATGGCGGGGCATCCGGTGGCCTCGGCAGGATCTTTCGCGGCGTAGGGTAAGTTCGGCGCTCGACCTCGGGCGGCTGTTCAGCCAACCATTGCTCGTTGCATCCATGACGGTTCTTCAAGGTCACGCATCATTTGATTGCAGACTAGCTTCGAACCGACTCGAATCCCTGAAAACCAGGTGACACTCAGGGTCATCTTCTGAAATCCTGGGAATTCTGAGGAATCTTGGGGAACTGTGGGGATTCTTGGGTGTTGGCTCGGGAAACACTTAAGTTCAGTATAGAGAGTCTGGATTTATGGTCCAAACCCAGAGAATCATCTTTGGAACTCTGGGTCACCTGCACTCAGGGAGGTGAACTCTGGGTCATCGTGCGGCACTCTGGGTAACAAGTCTGCTGCAGTGCAGACTCGTGTGTATCTCCTCAAAGCCACACTTTTAGTGGGTTTAGCGGCCTCCTGCGCATGATCATGGTAGTAGTGGGTTGATTCTGAGGGCAATTTGATCCTCTGGGGCACTCTTGAGCCACAGCAAGATGAGGTGTACTCTGGGATACATTCTCCAGAGACACTTTCCGCCAGACTTTAGGCACTCATCGTAAGGGAAAGTCCGCGGCTGGACTGAGTGTTCTCTGAAATTCTGGGCGTGCACTCCCAGGATTCACACTTCCAGCCAGTTGGGCCCATCTGCGTTCAGACGCTGGATTCATCCCGAGAAATCACTTCTCTCCCACAGTCGCCATCCATGTCACGCGGGTACAGCCGCGCCGTACCCAAGTCATCCTCCAATCAGCATCCGATACAAACTCCAGGTCACAGAGGTGACGGCACATCGTCGGCAATTTTCTGGGGACCGCCTCGTGTCAGTGTGACCACCATGTAGCCTTTTTTTGCTGGGGACGTCCACAAATCTGGGGTAATACCCGTACGACCTGCATCAACACCCTCTAAGACGAGGCAGCGCAGAATGGCCTTCCGAGCCAAGTTCTTCTCCAGCTTCCAGCGCTAATGTACGTGACTTCGGACCTTCTGGCGGTAAGGTACCTTGTAGGCCGGCTTCAGTGTTGCGCAGAATGCGATGAACTTGGGCTACTCGACGAGCAAAATGGCTGAGCATTCATCACGACCCAGTCAACCAGAACTCGGTCGGCGTCGGCTTTACTGAAGTCAGTCCCACACTCTGTTTAACTGTCACGCCCCGGGGCATGGTCTTCATCGCCATTGAGGCCGTTGCTGTTACGTATGACTATTTATTATATTTGGCCGTACATTATGAATTGTGTAACAGCACATAGGATCTGATCACGGGAATTGTATGTAATAATATTTTACCCTTTATATCTAAATATCGATTTAGGCTTTGTAAAATGTAGGCACTCTAATCTTGTCTCAAAGTCCGTCCGAGGTTTGCTGGCCGGGACAATAAACCGAGTACGGCGGGAAATTAAGGAAACACCCATTCAGACCAGGAATGTGGTCGTCCCTTAGTTCTGAAAATAAGTTTTAGACAAAAGCCAGACGAAACTCGGTTTTCGGCCATGCGCGCTTGTACTTCTGACCGCTTCTTGCGGGTAGCTAACAGTGTCGGACATTGCATATTGAAAACGTTTGGTCAAATTGCTGGTTCAAATATATTTTTACGCAAATCCTGATCTGGGGTCGTGGAATAATTCTATTTCGGGTCCGTTAAAAACCGGATGCGTTTAATTATTTTTTGGGTCATCTAGCGCCGTTTACGATATATTTGTTGACGGGTGGAATGCAGAGTCTCAGACTAGGTCTGCTGTTAATTGGTTTCGAATTTTCCTCCCGCAATAAGCCCGCCTTGGCGACATGTTCACTTTTGACACAAGGGCAACAACCGTTAGTTCACTGCAGCACTCGTCACTTTTCACTTCACGCGTGCTAAATTGATCATAGCACCTTGCTTTCTTACAAGCTTACTGAGGCATTTTTCATGCGTGTATTCCAACAAATTCTGGTAGATAAACATTCAACAGAAACGGGAGTGCATACGTATATATAGCCTTACTACACGAGAAAGCGGCTTGAAAATGCCCAACAAAATAGTTTTAACATTGGGTTATTTAACAGAGCCAAAACATAACTAGGGCTTCGCGGGGGCTGAGATAGCAAAAATAAACAAAACAGATAAACGCACAGCGCACACGACTTAGGCGCGCCGCAAGCGCGGCGCGCCAGTCGCCCGCGCTGTGCTTTTATATTATGAGCATCCACATCTACCAGATAATCAGACCTTTTAAGTACAATAACACACTTACGATAATATCAATTTGCTTTCTTGCCTCCGCGCTCTTTTAATAACCAAATACAAGCAAGTTATAAGCTGCATCAACGCCCTCCCAAGCCGACGACTATTCTTACCTTCGTGCTGTAAATTCACCCTTCGTCTTCAGGCGTGAGAACTGGAAATGATTCGAATGAAACTTGATGATGCGATTGATGCTTCTTCATTGATAGAGACCGACTAGATAATTATTCAGATTACCTATTAAGTTTACTTTCATAATATTTCAATATATGATGGATACTTAAACGCATGCGTTACACGCACGCCTTCATGCGACACCAAATTAATCCTGTGCCGGCTGCGTAGCAGCATAACTTACGGTACACTTGCTATCTCAGTAATATTTCATAATTGCAGCCCCGAAATCGGATGTTCTCGAAAGTTCTGGTTTTTCCTATTCTCCTCCCTTTATCGCAGTGATTTGGATTGTTTTTGGGGGTAAAAAAAAATCTCGCCGAAACCGCATAAAAATAATGGGCTTTTTAATTGTTTTAATTTGAATAATAATACGGTTTTTAATTTCGTATTCGTTTTTACAATTCGTGAAGTTTTGAAATACTCGTGAAATGTCCGAGTGAATGTTGCGGATCCCCGTGCGAAACACTCGGAAACCGGCGTAAAACCTTGCCAATCGGCAAGGATTCGTTTTGCATACTGGCCCCCTTACACAAGTTTTCGCGTAGTGTTCAATGCTAGGTTTTCGCTAACTTTTCCGACGGCCCGGTCCGTTCCACAATTGCTCGCCGCGCGCGGCACGCGAATTGACGAACTGTCATCCCGTCGCGAAGATGTTGTTGGTTCTGGGGGTGCTGGCGCTGGTGCTCGTGGCGGTGACGCTGCTCGTGGGGTTCGTGGCCATCACCTGGGAGCACGAAGTAGTGCAGAGGTACGACAGCGCGCTCTCGCTCCTCTTTCGCTGCTAGCGCTCTCTCTAACGCGACTTTCTGTGCTGTCAGCTATGCTGCCCTCCCAGCTCCTGCCGACCTGGGCACAAAGGAGTTTCGCTGGCGCTGCTGGTTGTCTCCATACACGCGTCGAGGATGGCGCACCTCCATTCTGCGTAGCGCGTGCCCGCGAATCACGCTGCAGTGCCCTTTTGCGCTGCTGTCGGCGGATTTTGCCAAGCTCGCCACCTCGCTGAGTCTGCCGAAGCTGGCACTTGAGCAGTTACCCTTCATGTTCCCGCAGGTGGCCGTGGGGAGTTTGTTCCTGCAGCTTCTGGGCAACTCGAACTTCCCGGCTAGCGTTCGCAATCTTCGCCTGAAGGCTCTGACTGTCGTCCAGCTCCGACCGCTCGACATGAGCTTTCCATCTCAAGACGAAGAGGCAGCGCCACCGCCAGAGCTGACGGTGCGTAGATGGCTAGTGCTTGCTGCATAGCTTTCCTGATCTATTATCCCTAACGACGAAGCTTCTGGTATCTGTTTGCAGTGCCTCATGGTTCTGTCTGAGAAGCGCTTCCTCGAGTCGGAGATCGAGTTCGCAGTTCAGACAGATTTGTTCGATGACCAGGGGACAGTATGGCAGTCGGTAACCTGGTTTTCGATCCCGTTCAAGCAAGAAACGCTACTGGTTCCGATATCACAGTCCTCATTCACTCTGGACGACACCATCGCGGCGCGTGCGAGTTCGAACCATGCGGCAGAATCCTTCAAGTGCTCCTCGAGGAACTTGTCTGAATTCGAGGATGTCAGCGTTGTGGGTGTGGCCGGTGAGTGCCCCTCCAAGACTGGCGCAGCTCCCCTGATGTGGATGCTTGCTCGTGCTACCGGTATGCTCCAGCAGAAGGCGCGGGTGCCAGCGCTGCCTCTGATGTGCAATTGCTTGTTCAGCGAGGAACAAGCTCCCGTGCCTCTGCACAAGAAAATTGTGCTGCAATCGTGGACGAGCGAGGAAGAGCAGGCGCAACCTGAAGTGGTTAAGTTTGCTGTTGAAGCCCAAGACGCGAGCGTCATGACCGGCGTCCTACGAACTGTCGGATGGAATTACGTCGAGAATTCTTAATTGTTGCTGCGCCGCAGCACCTCTACCGACGGTTGATCTGGGCATTCCCTACGGCTGGATGTGTTGCCTTTAGGCCAGCGCTACGTAATTCCCAATAAATGCAAACGCACCAACGAAAGATAGCTCGATCAAGACATACGTATATAAAATGCAATGCCAGTTGCGATCTTCTCTAAATCTTGCGGCGCTTCTTCGCATCGTGCTTCAGAATCTTCTTCACGACGCGGTTCTGCTGGCGTTGAATCTGGCGAGCCGAAACCAGAACCTTCGACTGCACAGACTTGCTCTTCTTGATCATCATAAAGTGCTTGAGGCGCTTCTTCTCTGTGTTGGTTGTACCGCCACCCGAGCGTTTGTGCTTGAAGTCCTCACGGCCTTCAAGCACCACACGCAGCCGCTCCTCTTGAGTCATGCGCTTCTTTTTCGAGTAGCCCTCCAGATCAGTCGGGTTGACCTTCGTAGCGTCTGAGCTTGCCTTGGCTGCATCCTCTTCAGCCTTGCGCTTGCTGCGCGACTTGGGGTCCTTCAGGGCTGCATCGCGCTCTTTTTTCAGCATCTCAATGCGTTCGAAATCCAGCGGTGTCAGGATACGACGAGCATCAAGGCGATCCTTTCGCTCAACTTCAGGGGTCTCTTCGCTGTTGTCCTCGTCCTCTTCGCCGTCATTTTCATCGTCATCCTCTCCATCATTTCCACGCTCATCGCCTTCCTCATCTGATGACACATCCACCCACTCGTCCTCCGATCCGTCTTCATCCGACGTGGACGATGCCACTTCCCAGCCGTCCTTGTTGTCCTCGCCGTCGAAACGTCCAGCCGCTTCAGCCTCCGCCAGCAGCTCCGCGCCATCAACACCTTCGCTCGCCACAAGCTCACCGAAGCGGTGCGGCTTAGCAGCAGTATCGTGGAACTTGCCGCGATCCTTGCGCTTGAGCAGCACCGGGTGAATGTCGCGAATAAGGTTGAGAACACCACGAGCAGCCATGACGATGGTTTTGTCGCGCGCGCGGTTGTACTGCACCAAGTCGCTGACGAGCACATCCATTCCTTCACACTCCAGCAAAAGCGGAGCACGACGGAACAGTTCGCGCAGGGAGTTGATGCCGACCGCAATCACCTCGGATGAACACCGCTCCGTGACGAAGTTGTGCGCGATACTCTTTACAATAGGCAGGAGTTCCTCGGGCGGAATTTCGTCGTGGCACGATTGCACCAGGTAGGCCAAGATAGCAGTCACGTTCTGCTGATGAGACTGCAGGTAGCGCTGCAGAAGCGGGTAAAAGGGAAGCACCACGAGCTTGTGGAATCCCAGGACGCGACCAATAAAGTTCATCATGAGCAGCTTCACCTCGAAGCGCTCCGTGCAACTCTTGAGGAGCTTCAGCTGGCGCTCAGCAACGCCCTGCGGATCATTCAGCAACTCGATGGCAGGGAACGTAGCCATGAAATCGAGTTCGCGCTTGCGGGCTCTCTTGTTCTTGCTCAGTGCCTGCAGGGTATCACGCTGACGCTTTTTCGTTTTCTTCGAGTGAGCGTGGAAGTCCACAGTCACAAGCGCCTTCTTCTCTTTCTTTTGCTGTTCCTCGTCTTCCAGAATGTCTTCATCGATACCCAAGAAGAAGCTGAGCGCCATCACCAGCAGCTTGGTGTTCTTACTCGTGCACGCAGTGGCAATCACATTCACACTGCGCTGGTCATGCCAGATCTTTCGCTTGAAGAGATCCATCAGCACCTGCAGCGACTTGATGGCCGCGTGCTCGCTCTCGTCCTGCAGCATTTCAAACAGGAAATTCTGCAGCGCCTTGTTCACCTTCACGTTGCGCGACGTGGCGTTGAGCTGGCGGATGTCCGACACAATGTGTTTGTACAGAAGCTCACGCAGCCTCTTGTCGGGGCAGCGAAAGAGCTCAAAGAAGAGCTTCAGGAGGGTGATGGCGTCCACGAGGCCGCGGTTGCGCAGGAGCATGAGGCTCTGCACCAGCGTCTTGCGAAGCTCCGGCTCGAGCACGAGGTAGTTGTCGCGCAGCAGCGCCATGACCTGCTCGGGCAAGGCCGCCATCTCCACGGGGTAGCACTTGGCCACATGACTCAGGAAGCTCACGAGCGCGCCGAAGTGCGCCGACTCCTTGGTGGGCTGCAGCAGGAACAGCTGATACTCGCTCTCGAAGTGGCGCAGCTGCATGAGGAACTCGGTGCGGTAGCCCACCGGGTCGCGCTTCACCATGTTCTGCAGCTGCGGCAGCTTGCCGATCACATCCGGTCGGGACGCGTTGACGGCCTCCATGGTACTCGGCTACTTCGGAGAGAGGTCGATGCAACGCGGCGGCGAACGAAGAACCGGAGTGCTGGCCGTACTCGGTCTGCGCCGGTTGATGTTGTCGGCGCCTCCACCCATTCGCCAACAGCGAAGCATGACTTGATTTTAGTATAGCTACTAATCTGAATTCAATTTTCAATCGCACTTTAGTGACTATCTGACGTTCAAGACTGGCAAAAATGAAGCAGGAGCACGAGGCCGCGTTCCGCCTCCGTGACGGTGCCTGCGTTCGCGTCGTGCAAGACACCACCAAGGTCGATGGTTTGGGCGGTGAAGTTTGGGCTGGAGCGCTCGTCCTGTGCGAATTCCTGGAGGAGCACGCGCAGGAGGTCGTGCAAGGCCGCGACGTGATCGAGCTGGGTGCGGGCTGCGGACTCTGTGGGCTCGTGGCTGCCTCGCTTAGCGCCAACGCAACCGTGTTGACGGACGAATACCCGGATCTGTTGGCAAGAAATATCGCCAAGAACTGCCACCTCTGGGCTGAGCGCGAGGCGGACAACGTAGTCTCGAGCGGGGAGCTGGAGTGGGGCGTCCCAGAGTCCATCGCGCCGTTTGCCCGCAAGTTCGACACGATGCTAGGCAGCGAGATCACCCAGTTGGGTCGAGGCTTGCACGTTCCGCTGCTTGAGACGATCCGCTCCGTGCTACGCCCCGGAGTCAAGTCGCTGGCGCTCCTCTCCATGGATCCGTGTCGAGCTACCTGTGAGGGGGCCTGCGACGTAAGTAAGTGCACCGCGTCTCACTTCGTAGCTGCAGCAAAGCAGACCGGTTTCACAGTGCGCAAGCACCCATCCGTCCGCCTGGCCTCTCGCGAAGCAGTAACTTCCCTAGTCGGTGCCCTGGGCCGGCCGCTGCACGTCGATGAGGACGACTGGAGTGTCGTCTTCGAGCTGCGTTTTGAAGGCACCTTTTGACATGGCTACATTGGGCACTACACTCTAGTTCAACTAAGGCCAAAAGAATATAGAAGAGAACAACATCTGAAGTCGCGCCAGCCATGCCGCCTCTCGTGGTGATTCGCAGCGGGTGCAAGCACATCGAGTATTAATACCTGGAGAACCGCGCACCGCGTCTGGATGACGTCGCGGACGAACAGGGTGACGACGACGCGCTGCTGCGTCAGGCCGAAGAAACCTGGCGCCACTCCAGCGGCAACTGCAGCGAGAGCAAAGCTCTCGGTTTCTCGTGCGAGCTTTTCGACGTGGAGGGTATGCATGCCTTCCGCTGCCCTGACTGCGGCAACGTGGTGGCTGACCGCGACGACGTCGTGTCCAAGACGTTCTTTGGTCGCACTGGGAAGGCGTTCCTCATGAACAACATGTATAACGTCCGAGTTGGCCCAGCGAGGAACCGCTATCTCATGACAGGGATGCACCTGATCGCGGACGTGCAGTGCCAATGCGGCTTCGTGTTGGGCTGGAAATATGTACGTCGCGGTCTACTACTTGGACGCACTGCTTACTCTTCGTTCTCGGGTGGGGCATGTCCATTGTTCAGATCAAAGCGATGGAGAGCTCCCAAAAGTACAAGGAAGGTAAGTTCATCATGGAGCACGCAGTCGTCCAAGACGACTCGGAAGAGCAGGCGTGGAATCGGCTGTAAGGAGGCGATTGGGTACGGTAATTGCAGTGTGGAGCAACGGCAAAGAGTGTTGCGAGAGTGTGGTGGGGAGCAAGACAAAACTTACCATTGGGCACGAGGGGGATTTCCAGCACGCGCAAGAAAAGCAAATACTATAACTTATATGTCACGTATATCTCTCTTCTTCAGCGGTCCAACGCAGCTTCACTCCATCAGATGGAGTCCATCGCTCTGCTCGTGCCCATGCTTCAGCTCTACGATACGCGATCCTTGTAGTTACTGGCCAGGCGGGCCGCGCATGCCTGGCGGCGGGCCTCGCATGCCCGGCGGGGGCATCATTCCCATGCCGGGCGGGGGTCCCATTCCCATGCCGGGCGGCGGGCCCATTCCCGGAGGCGGCATGCCCATGCCAGGCATCGGTCGAGGAGGAGGCATCATGCCGCCGGGGGGTCCCGGAATTCCGCGACCACGGCCGTACGCCTGCGGTTGTGCCATTGCCGCCACTACAACAGAATGCACACGCCATAAGAGCACAAATTAGACCTCCGTCGCGGCTACAGGTATCAGGCGCTTGAGGGCTGCTCGCTCGCGGGCTGGGTTGGGTTGGGTCCATCATACTAAGATCGTAGGCAGTAGTTTCCTATGTTGGTGCTCAGCCGGGTTCGGAGGAAAAGCCGTACGCCCGATCACTTATCTGTTCGAGTGATCACTTGGAGCCAACCGTAGGCAACGGCATCACCGCCGCGAGCAGTCCCATCGCAACACCATAAAGCCACATGATCCAATACCGTACCTTGTCCTGGCTGCATCATGCCCGGGGCCGGGCCTCCAATTCCGCGCATAGGCGCCATAAGTCCCATGGGAGGTGCGCCAACAGGAGCTGCAGGGATACCGCGTCCTGCCGCGCGCGCCACGCCGGGGCCGCTCGGGCCGACAGTCTCGTTCTCCTTGGCGAGCGGAGGTCCCTCCACGGTGAGCGACACGACGCTCTCGCCACGCAGCAGCACGAGTCCCAGGTGGCGCTTCTCCACGCGCTCCTCCGACACCGCCGACTTGACCTTGGCCTTGAGAGTGCGGAACTCCTCGCAGTCGCCCAGCACCAGGTTCATGTGCTTGTCGAAGGCCATGAAGTAGCCGATGAGCACGCGCGAGTCCTGCAGCGTCACCTTCATGCGGTAGTTGATGTAGTTGAGCATCTTGCTGCTCTTGGTCATCACCATGGTTGCCTCGCCAGCGTCGGTCGACGGATCGACCAAGTGAGCGCCGGAGACGAAGAGCAGATACGGCGAGAGCTTTTCCTGCCGACTTTGTTACTGGCGGGAGCCGCGCCACTCCTCAGACCCATGTTTATGCATATCTTATGACAGATCAAAGCGCCAAAACAAGTTCAATGCGCTTTTGATGATGAAGCATGCACTTCCGAATTCCGCACGGTTGACGCAAGTCGCGATGGCGCCGCAACAAGCTACAGAAGCGTTCCCAGCTGCAGGCGCCTGCGCTGAGCTGCTCCTGGCGGAGAACAAGGACGCAGTCTACGAGAGCGAGCTCAAGAACCTGCTGCGTGAGGTGCTCGAGCGTGGCTGCGGGGCCCACCTCCTGTCGCAGCTGCTGCCGGAGCTGGCGGCGCTGTCGTCTCTGCTGTATCACGCACTGTCCATCGGCCTACACCAACCAGGTCAGACGCTAGGCGAGGAGTTCTGCGATGTCATCCGCGTCACCAAGTCGGGGGTGAAGTCCCCCGTGGAGCCTGTGCGACTACGGCGGCATGCTTTGTGGCTCGCGTGCTTGGTTGTACCGCGCTATCTGACGGCGCGATCGCAGAGCGGCTGGAAAAATCTGAGCCAGCTTACGCGCACACCACGGGAGCGCATGGAGCAGCAGCTTCGGCTGCGTCGAGAAGCTGCGGCGGCAGCAGCGGACAGCACGGAGCTACCTTCGGAGAGCCGCCTGGCAGTGTTGAAGCCGCAGCGGTTGCTTCAACAGCTGGATCTAGCTGTGTCGAAGCTCAAGGCGATGACGGCGTGGCTCGAAAATGATGTGTTCCCGGCTTCCTACGAATTCAGTATGGCATGTGTGCAGCAGTGGGGAGCACACGCGCACCTCGCAGCGTTTTACGTGTTCGCGCGCTACTTGGACCTGGCTAAGCGAATTGCCAATATCCAGTATATTTTCGTGCGAAAAGACTTGATGCCGGGCATGAATTTGTCCTTGCTGGGCTATGTGATGTCGCTGCGACTTCTCGCTACAGCCGTGGTTGAGCTCAAGCGCGTGCGGGGCCACTTCAAGCTGGAGCAGAAGCAGCGCCAACAAGAGGCCAGGGCACCAGCAGGCAGTTCTGAGAAGCCATTTCCTCACTCGGACAGAGTACCCACGTCTCTTTCATTTGTGAGTACGAGCACTGGATCCTCGCCGGAATCGGAACGTACGAGTGGTGGAGGTCGCCGGCAATCCCGTCGTAAATGCGCGCTTTGTCTGGGTGAGCGAGTATCCCCCGCTGCCACCCCTTGTGGTCATGTTTTCTGCTGGGAGTGCATCGTGGGTTGGTGCCAGAAGAACAAAGCTGAGTGCCCGCTTTGCCGCCAAGAGACTCACCCTCAGCAGATTAAGTGTGTTTATAACTACGTTTGATCTACACGGTGGTGCCCTTGAATAAAAACACATCAATGCAGTATCGATTTCTCCGTTATAAGAGCGATGCGGGTAGCCGACAACATCTAATGTTTCCGCTGGCGCTTGTTTTTCTTGCCCGAGCCCTTGGACGCAGCCCGCTTCCCCTTGCTCTCAGTCTTGGCGCTCGTCTTTGACTTGTCGTCATCCTTGCTATCAGCTTCTTCCTTCTTGGCCTTCACAGCGTCGACATACACTTGGTCGGAGCTGAGAGCGTTGTGAATGAATCGCTTGGACGCGTCCTTGTCTAGCACTAGCTTTGGGCCCTTCGCCAGCTCCTCCGCGTCTTTAATCTTCTTGATGAAAGCCTTCACACGATCCTAAAAATCGTTTATTAGCGACGGTGGTGCGCCGATGCAGTACATATTAGCAACCTCGACACTTTTGATGGTTAAGTGCTTGACGGACTACGCACCAGTTCCTGCTTGACGTGGGTCTGTCGGATGTCCTTGGGAGAAACTCCCTGGGTCTTCAAGAACACGAACAGTAGCGCGTTGATGGTGTAAGCTGGTAGAGCGCAAAATGGAAGGAAGCACACGAAACAAATAGCAGGGTAAGTCGACAATTCCTGACCAACAAACTGCGATGGAGACGCATATTACATACCCAATGAAACCTGCACCTTCGCACGCTCCAGTGGGCTTAGCGGTGCAACAAATTCCTCCATTGAGTTCTGCTTAAACACCGCCAGGTGCTCTTCCACCGCAGCGAGCGTCTGCTCCACGCTGGAAAAGGCTTCGACCGCTTGCTCGCTCATCCCGGTTGCTTTTTGTTTGTTGGGGCAGTATTGGTTGGAAGATAATGGCGTGTGGACCACACCAGACAATATTTTTCGGATGGCTACACTAACTGTCAATGGTGGCTCCTTCCTTCTTACTACTACTAGTACTAGTACACGCCATTCCTTCCACAATGCGGCAAAACCTGCACATCCAACTGCATTTAATACTACGCGTATACCTCAGCCTAGCTAAATCCTACCCTCAAGACAAGCAAAATTATAGCTGAACATGAATTATGGATAGCACACTGCTTTACAAGACAAATCCGTCCTGGTTTCCACCGTTGGCATCAGTATTGCCGTTGCTGTTCGCGCTACTATCACTGCTGTCGTGCGTGTTCAGGTCTTTCTTGCGTCTTTTCATGACCACTTCGACGGCGTGCGAGAAGGCTGAAGCGGGCGCTTGCCCATTCGGGTTGCTGGCTTGCAGCGTGTCGATCAGATCCTTTTGTACGTCGATCATCTCACCCATTTTACCTACCAGTTCCTGGAACCGCTGGTCCATCAGCGCAATAAACTGCATCAGTAACACGCTTGTTGGATCGACAGCTCCTGCTGCGGTCTCCATGGCCGATGCCGGACGCTTGCTTCCGCTGGTTTGCTCGGCTGACAACGACGTATGTGGGTCCGCAATGCCGCCGGTGCCAGCCGCACTCGTAGCAGCATTCGGGTCTTCGCCGTTCTTGGATATCGGCGTTTCTGCGAGCGCCTGGTGGGACTGCACCGGGGGGAGCTTCCGTGGTGCCTGAGCAGTCTGAATGTCCTCGTGCGCCGCATTAGAAGTGGAGGAGACAACATGGATGCTCGTAGTCTCCACACGGGGAATCTCCTCAACCGTAGTCGGTGGCAGCATGGTTGCGGGGGCGAGTTCGGCTTTTGCATCGGTTCGAGCGTTGTCCTCCCTCGCGACTTCGTACTGCCGCCTGTGCTCCACCGAGTAGACCTCGCCCTCCCTCAGGTGCGCCTTGGTGAAATGCATCTTGAACTTCTGCGTGCGCATGGGCTTGTTGCAATCCGGGTACGTGCAAATGATGCCGTTCTTGTGCTTGTTGCCCACCATGATACTCAGATGCGTCGGGGCGGCGGCACCTTGCGCGAGGCGAATCGGGAAAACTTGGTGATGTGAACCACTTACTCAGGAGTCCCTCTAGTAGAGCACACATTCCCATAAAGGAGCAATACATTGAGCAAATCAAAAGAAGGCTTTTTCGAATTGCTTGTTCTGACCTGAACACTCAGGTGCCGACGCCCCGAGAAGCGGGGGCAAATCCTTTCTCCCGTTAGACCGCCCGGAAGCTCAACATGGTACATAACGCTCTTACTGATGGCTACATCCCCAATGGCTCATTGGTGCCTTGGTCGTCGCAAGCGGCAGTCGAGGACGACGAAGAGGATTGGTCGTAAGATTCATTAACGCTCTGTATCTGTCTGCCTCTCTATTTCGCAATGCAGCACCCGCGTGACGACGAGCGCGGCAAGATGGAGGCGCTGCTGCACCAGATCGTGCTGGAGGAGCAGCAGAAGATGGTCCAGCTCGGCTTCGTGGAGACCTGCATCCCGTCCCCGGACAGCCCCGCGCGCTCCAGTATTTTCATGAGTGCGAACTGGCACATCTGCCGCCGGTTGCTGCTCGTGATCGTGAGCGGCAACGGCATCCAGCCAGGCATCTGGAGCCGCTCGCTCGTGCTGGAGGCCGCGGAGAACCCCAACCAGTACCGCTCGGGCTCCATGCTGCCCTACCTGCACACGGCGCTGTCGAAGGGCTACGGAGTCGTGGTCATGAACCCCAGCACCAACACAGTGAGCGTGGGTAGCGAGAAGATTCCGATCCCGTACTCGAGCACGCCAGAGCTGCATGTGCGCTACGTGTGGGAGACGTACGGAGTCCGCGCCTCGTGTTCGCAGGTGTACATCGCTGCGTACGGGCGCGGAGGCTCGTTGACGAAGCACTTGGTATGCACGCAGCCGGTGCTCAGGTCTAAGTTGGCGGCTATCGCATTCATTGAGTCCAGCCATCGCATCGAAACAGACGACACGCAGGAAGTGAGAGGGCTGTTGGGAACGAGAGCGATCAATTGGCAGCGATCGAAGGAAAGCCCTGGAACGCAGCTGCAGGATTGCACGCAGCTAGGGTGCTTGAGTCTATCAGCGGGGGAACCTACTTCGCCGGCGGAGCAGAAGTCATCGAACACGGCGTGGACGATTGCGGCGAGTATGGATACCGTCTTCGCCTTCTTCGACAGCGCGCGAGGCTCTATGCCGGATGAACCGGCAGAGGATGAGCTGATGGATGAAATGAGCCGCCTATCGCAATATGCGTACGCTGGCGCGGCGGCGATGTCGTCCGCACCTCACCAGCGAGAGCATTTGGAGGACGCCGAGTTTCAGGAAGAGGAGGTCACAACGAGCGACGGGAATCATTTGGGGAGTCGTTCGAACAGCGCGCGCAGCTCAAGACGCAGCATGGTTATTTCGACGTCCATGAGCGTGAACGATTTCGACTTGCTCTCGGTGGTGGGAAAAGGCGCGTACGGCAAAGTCTTTCTTGCCAAGAAGAAACACGGACGGAATGCAGGTCGAGTCTACGCGATGAAAGTGCTGCGCAAGCAGGATGTATTCAAGAAGAAACAGGTCGAGCACACCAAGTCCGAGCAGCGTATTCTGAAGCATGTGGAACACCCGTTCGTGGTGCGGCTGCGGTATGCTTTCCAGAACCACCAGAAGCTGTATCTGGTTATGGACTACTACTCTGGCGGGTCGCTGTTCGTGCATCTACGGAAGGAGAAGCGCTTCACCGAGCAAAGGGCATGCTTCTACGCGGCGGAATTGCTGCTGTCGCTTGCGCACTTGCACAACATGCACATCATGTACCGTGACCTGAAGCTGGAAAACATTCTTATGGATAACGAGGGACATGTGGCGATCACAGACTTCGGCTTATCAAAGGAGGATGACGAAGGCTCGACGTTCGTAGGTACACCCGAATACCTGGCGCCAGAACTGTTGTGCAGCCAGCGCACAGCAACGTCCTACGGCAACACAATCGACTGGTGGAGCTATGGCGTGCTGGTTTACGAGATGATTCAAGGACACACACCATTTTGGGACAAGAATCGCCGTCAAATGTTCCAGAATATCCTGAGCAAGGAGCCAACGTACCCAACCGAGCACTTTTCACCTACTGCTACGGATTTTCTGCAGCGACTACTTGTCAAGAACCCGCGTCAGCGCATGGGCTGCGGGGCTGATGGCGCACTGGAGATCATGGGACACCCATGGTTTGAAGGAGTGGACTGGGACGCGCTTCTTAACCGCCGAGTGGACCCACCATTCAAGCCCGTGACGAAAGATATCCACGGCAATCGGGCACGGAGTAGCAGCGCTGCGCTCAACGCGAACCTGCAGTACGTACCGAACATCTTCAAGCAACAGGAGGTTGCGGACTCGCCTGTCGTGAGCGTGCTGGGATCTTCTACCGGATCGGGAGTCATGGCCATGCACTTCGACGACTTCAGTTATATGGGCAGCGACATCATCGGCTCGCGGCGCACATCCGTCTTCCGCGACAGCGACATAAAGATGGAGCTTGGCGAGTAGGAGCCACGTGAGATTCAACCATTCGGAAGTTGAAATTGCTCCAGTACGAGCTCTTATCCGCCACACGTAGCTGTTTCGCAGAGGCGGAGACTCACGGCAATACGCACGGTCAAGCTACAGTATGCCAGAGGCTCGTGCTGAGCCAGAGCGGATACCATCCAGTCTAATTGTGCAGCATTTTTTCGGTACGTATGCTTTGCATCAATAGTTCAAAACGCTAAGAGTAAAGTAAGCAAGACTGACAGGAGACTCGACGCGAAGAGTTGCTGCGTGAACGTTTTCCGAGCTTCGACTCTTAAGCCACAATCCATTCTGTGTTGACTACGACTTGCATACCGTCGTTATCAGTGCTTGTTTCGCGGTGCAGAGCACGTAGGGAACAATGGGACAAACTATTTGCAACAGAGTGGAGATTCTCGATTTTTTCTAGCTGTAGGAAGCTCAGCTCCCATCAAGAACCACGAGCAAGGTGCTTACGGCACAACATCGAGTCCCATGGACTTGGCCGATCCGATAAGCGTCTTGCAGATGGACTTGAGGTCAATGTAGTCCACCATTTCGTCCTGCTGCTTCACCTTAGCGATCTCATAGATCTGACGCAGATGCACCGAGCCCACCACCTGCTGGCCGGGAGTCGAAGATCCCGACGTGATACCGGCCGCCTTCTTGAGGAACCACGAGGCCGGCGGTGTCTTGGTGGCGAACGTGAACGTGCGGTCCGTGTAGGCCGTGAGCACCACGGGCACGGGGATGTTCTCCGTCATCTTGGACGTGCGCTCGTTGAAGGCCTTGCAGAACTCCATCATGTTGACACCCAGAGGACCCAGAGCCTGACCGATAGCAGGCGACGGGCTGGCCTTGCCCGCCAGCACACGAAGTCGGACCACGCCCTTGACTGCGACAGACATAATGCGTTCCTGATAACTCGACGGGGGGAGAGCGGACGGAGGTGAAACCTGTATGAGGATGGAGAGGGGAAGAAGGGTTAAATGACGCACATAATTCGAGGTAAAGGTGCGCGCTGTGAGCGGAGCTGTAGCAACGCGAAGGTAGGCGGCGGGCGCATGGGACGCACCTGAAGCGCAGGTTGCGAGACTTTGAGTGGCCGCCGCACATTTTTTGAAGGGCTACTATTGAGGTGATGGGTGGAGAGATTTGATTGGCTATAGATGTGTATACTGTATAAACTATACGGTATACCTAACTTCAACACTTTCGGTGTTCATCTCGGTAGTCTTCCTAGCTGAAGTAGCTCGGCGCGATGGCAACATCTTCAATCACGTCAAGCTGCGCGCGCGAGAACTTGGTCTTCGTCTCGATCCAGTTGTCCTGATGCGTGCGCTTGAATTCCAGCAGCGTCTCCTTCACCTCCTTCTCCAAAAACGAGATTGTGTTCGAGGACCTCTTCATGTACAGGAACCGGCCCAGCTCTTCAAAAATCGGCGGCACGAAGCTTGGCACGTCGTGCGGGAACGCGAGGACGACAGCGCTCAGACTCAGCACGCTCTCGGTCATCTTCGCTTCAAGCGCCTTCAGCCGCTCCTGAGTCTTCTTCAGCTCCTCATCGGGGGCGCCTTCCGCTTCCAGGCGTTCACACCGGCGTTTCAGCTTTGGGAATTTCACCCGCGCCTGCCCCGCGCTCTCGGTCAATCGCACACTCATCGTCTCCACTGTCGTTGGCAGCTCATTGTGAAGAATACCGCGCAGCGCATACTTCGCCATTGCCTGCACCTCTCGCTGCTCGTCCGTCAAGAACGCGCAGACAAATGCGTGCACCTGCTCCTTCAAGTCGCTCGAAAAGAATACCCAATGGTAGAAAGCGAACGTCATGGTAAAGCGCAGAACGGCACCGCGGGTCTTCCAGGTCCGAGAGGTCGACAAGCGCTTTAGCAGCTCCAGCAATTGCGGCACTGCACGTTTTCCGGATGCATCCTGCGGCACAAAATACATTCGCAGCGATAGTGATACGGCATCGGTGACATTCTTCGCTTGAACAGCCACCTCCGCCTTCGGGTGACTTTGTGCCAGCAGAGCAACAGGCAGCAAGTCATCAAGCATGACAAGCATATCCCTTCCATCTCCATACTTCTCACAACACGCCAGCCACTGCATCGCGGTTTCCTTCGCATGCAAGAATATGTCGGTCGCTGCGTTACTTTCCTCCGACACGCTCTCCGCGTTGTCGACATTTTCTTCTGACGCACTAGCAGCCAATAGTTCTCTCAGTGGCAACGACGCCGAGGAGATTGGAGCTGAGGGCGAATCGGCTTGGCAAGAAGATACCGAAAGGGTGTAAGCACCCACCAAAAATAGCATCTTCCCGGCGCGATCTCGAATGATCTTGTAATGGTGAGCCAAGGCATGCTCTCGAACCACCTTCACCACTCGTTCGCTGAAATTGGAGGCAAGCGCGTGCACTGTTTCGTCAGTTGTCAAAATATTGGCCGCAAGTAGATGAACCCCCAACGCTTCTACCAGAGCCAGCCACTTCGCTTGACGCGCGTAGTCTTCTGCAGCTGCCCGAGCAAAAGAGTCTTCTAGCTCGAGAAGCAAATAACTCACCAACGGCTCCAATCGGCGCAACTTCACGGCATCAGACCTCGATGGGCGGGACGCAAGATAGACTACCTCAACCCACTGATCCACCATCACAATACTCACATGCGGAATAACTGCCTTGAACAGACTGACTACACTGGTGACATGATAAGCCACGTCTTCCTCACCGTCAGTCTTCAGTTTTGCTAGGGCGTGAAGTAGGCCAGCTGTACAGTCAGCCAGTGTTTTCAGCGCCGCCTGCCGATCCTCCTCCCCAACATCGACGCCAACGTTTTTACTTACCAGGTCGCGAAGTATTTCCACCACTCCGCTGTTCAAAAATGCCTTCGAATTTCCGTGTACAAGCTTCTCTACCAACTCGACGCTGGCCAAATTCACGCCTGTGAACGTGTTGCGTGCTTGGTTAAGGAGACGCACAGACGACAAGGGTGGGGCTTTCGGGAATGTCTGTGCGCTGTTCGAAATGTACCGAACAACCTCGTTTACACCAAACGACCAGTCACTTGGAGCTGAGTCGGCATGCTGACCATCCGCAGAGGCAGCAAATCTGTTGGAGTTTTTGTGGTTGTTTATCAAAGCTTCCACAAGCGCTTGCGTCGTACTGCCGGAGTAAATAAGTCCATCAATCTCGTCCACGTAAGGTGAGTCCCGTTCTTCTCGGCTGCGCTTCAATAGCTTCATCAAGTGCTTGAAGAGTTCCAATGCAATCTGCCGCACGGGAAGCACATCGTTCCTCAACTGCTGAATTACCAACTCCCAGACGCCAACATCAATTGGCATCGCTTCAGGCTGCAAAAAGGGATACAACATCACTAAGTGCAGCAATTGGAACTTCCAATGCTCTGAGCTTGAAGGCTCTGCTTCAAGAACGGTCTGAAGCAAGGGTTGGTTCGTCTTCTGGCCCCGAATGTATCTCCAGTTTAGCAACAGAGAAAGGAAGAATGCCTGCAGCTTCATCTCGACCTTCGACTTATCCGCTTCACTGTCAACCTGCTTGACAACCGCACTGTTGCTTCGTAGAAGCACCACCAGCACACGTTTAAGCAACGTATCGCGCTTCTTCCACAAGTTTTTCCGAGCGAGGGGCAATGACAGCATGTGCATCAATCCTGACACGCGTTCTTCTGTTAACTGTGACGGACCACAAAAGCCTTCCAATTCTTCAATCTGTGCCAACTGACGGGAGTATATCCATCTAGCGTACAGCACTGAGCATTCCTTCATTACTGCCGCTGCATCTGAACGAACGGATTCAAACGGATTCTTCAGAAGACGCTCGACCTCCGCTAAGAGCGCCTCGTAGCGCTGGCGTGTTTCTTCATCACTCTCAGGCTGCGCTATTGCGTTAGCCAACGCAAAGTGTTGTTGCACTTTTCGCTTCGCATAGAAAAACATCACTTTCTCAACCAGCTCGTTGCGTGATAAAAGCAGCACTTGCTCACCCTTATTCTCGCGGCGGCGAAGGTAGCCGCTTGTCCGATAGGCATGCGAAACGACATCCGTGCTCGTAATTCGGGAATACATGTTTTGAGATTCTTTCACCCTGAAATCATCAAGATGCTCGCCTCTCCAAATTAAAAGCTGGTGCATAATGTCCAACAGCAAACGCCATACTTGGTTTTCCATCGCGCTCCCGCTGCCTCTCTCTCTCCAAAACACGACAGCATCGTGGATTTGGTTCATCAGCAACCCCTTCAGAGACGAAATTCTTTCAAATAGCTCCGGATTATTCTGGAGTGCCTTGAGCAGTAGAGGCTTAGCACCATCCAAAAACGCCCCATTCGCCGCAGTACTCTCGTCAGTCAGCACATTTGCAGCCCCAAGAAGCCCTTGGAGCACTTGGTCCAGAAGACGCGTCCACACACGAACTGTTAGATCTTGACTATGCCTCATTTGTTCCAACTTCTCAAGAGCTCCAACGACGTGGTCTTGCAACAGATTAGATCCGAATGCAAGCTCTCCTTCACTCGGCTCGTGCCACCGTACCGATAGCCTATTCCACGAAATGCCAGCACCCAAGTATTGAAATGCCCCGCTGTTGCTAGATGTCGCGTTTTCCCACTCGGTACCAGGCAACGATCGAAAGTCGTGTGTGTATACTCCACAGAGACCAGACAGCAAGTTCTGGAGGACAGCACCAGCAGCTTCGTAAACTTTCTTCTCTTCATCGCCGTTCAAAAAGTGCGCCAAGATCAACTTCAGCTCGTGCTCGTAGCGCAGCAAAATGGGGTCACCTGGAGGGCTGAACCGCACAAGGCCATCGAGAATGCGAAGGTACCACACTTTCTCATTCACCATCAGGTTGGAATCGTGAATAGCCGTCTTCGTCACGTGAAGTTTGTCCAGTACAATCGGCATGAACTGTTCCAAGGCTTCGGAAGGATTTCCTTGCATGCAGTTGAAGATCAACGTCGAGATGACTTTTCCTCCAAAAGGCGAAGTGTAGAATGCGTTTGTCACAAAGGCCACGGTCTTGCGAAGGCACTGCGTGTAAATTTCTGGAGACATCTGTGCATACAGGATGGCCAGCAGATTTAAGACCTGCAACACGATCGCATCTTCGCTCCCATCTCTCTTTGAAGACTTAGTGCTCCGGTTTCTGTCAGCAATGGCGGCAGGCGAGGCAGATCTAGCACCAGACCGCGACTGAATGAATTGGAAGCAACGATCCAAAACAGCAAACGCCCACTCCTCTAAAACGGGTCCGGCTTCCCACATGTTTTCGTCGATCTGGCTGTCCATTGCTGCAACTTCAGCGAACAGACTACTTTCCATATCCGCAAAGAGCTGGTTCGACAACTCTTTCCTCTGTTTTGTTGCCTGGAAGTTCCCCTTTGCTGGATCGTTCACCAGGGGCAGCCACGATAGCAGGTGAAAGTAGAGCTGGACAGTCGACTGCGTTTTCTTTTCATCGTTCGCATCAATCCCTGGTAACGTGAGCTTCAGCATAGGTTCCAAATAAGTCGCGAAAAACAGGCCCGTACTTTGCGGGTGTCGTCCACACATCAAATGATACAAAAACACCGCCATCGAGGAAATCGCAGTGGCCGCCAAGTGTGAGTGGCTCATGGCCATCGGATCAAGCGCCTTGAGCATCTCCTCCATCACGGGAGCTGCACATCGCACAGGGTGGATGCACAGGAGGTTCTTCATCACGTACATACACTTGGTCGCTACACCTTTGTTCTTCGAGTAAATCCCCAGTAAGCAAATTTCCATAAGCGTGTCCAGGATATTTCCAATCGAAGCCGTTTGAAGAACTTTGATCCCCGCCTTCTCGCGCCCAAGACGTCTGCACAACGCGTTGCTGAGATAGTACAAGTAGGTGGCGAGTGAATTACCGACGTTGGCAACATTTGCTGGGTGGAAAAATGACTTCACCATGCTCAGAATCTCCAACAGGTATCGCGTCGGGGCTGCAGCATTGCCGTCACCCCCTCCCTCACGTAAGAGGTACACGCACAAACGCATGGCGTGCTGACCGAAGCGCTTCGACCCGTTTATCGAGGTATACGCCGATGGCCACAGCTGCTTTTTGAATGGGGAACCCAGGTCAGAAGGCAATTCCAACAAGTCGTTCACCTTCGCGAAGATAAACGGGAGATACTCATCCAACATCGATGTGCTGGGGTAGCGTTTGGTAGCACGAGATAAGATTTTCATCCAATGTCCATCCCACTCGTTACAACGCGAAATCAACGACCACGTCGAGAACCACTCGGGGAGGAGGCTCACAACAGCCGCCTCTGTTTTCGAATCTTCCGACTTCGGCAATGAGACCAAAAACGAGAAAAGTGCCAGCGCACGAAAGCATTCCGTCGACTTGACATTTTTCACAGTCGCGCCGAACTCCGTCCACAGCTCGAGCACAAAAGGCGTGGCAGGATCTGATGCTCGGAAAAAGCTGCGCGCCTCCTCCGCGCACTTGACCGTCGTGTTTGTTAACTTAACCATGTAACTCTGCGACGCCTGCTGGATGTACCCAGGCGCTCGAAAGCAGACGCGCTCGATCGCACGCCTCACCGACCTCCAATTGATCACGAGGTCTTCGGTAACAGCACCATCTTCGCCGCGGTGGCGCTTCTTCCACTTCTTCAGCAGCAGTTGCAGCGCCGTCACGGCTCGGATTTCCATGTCCACGTCAGCGAATGCGCGTCCATCGCGCGTCCACAGCAGCTCCACCAACACGCGAATCAGTTGCGCGTGCAGCCCCAGGGGCAGCTCGTGTTTCAGCTTGTAAAACGTGTCCACATCCCGGAAGTGGCGGTTTTGCAGCACACCACCCAGCGCGTCGCCGTCGCCCAGCGTCTGCATACAGGTTAGTGTTTCCTGCAAGAGCAAAGATGTTCAGTCCGACTGCACGCTAGAGTATAGTTTTTCTCTGCACCCCCCGAGGCGCGACTAACCTGGATCCGGCGCAGAAAATCAGCTCGCTCTGCCTGGATGCTCTCGGGCGTCACGTAAGACGGCAGCAGGCTGTAGTACGGGTGCACGGGCGCGACCTCCGCCTCGACCGGCGACTCCGTACAAGTCGCGGCCATGGCGGCAGATCGAGAATGGCAGCGAAAGTGGATCGAGATGCCATTTTCAACCAATCACGCGCTTGATTGCTTCGCAGCATGCATTCCAGCACAAAATGCGTGTTTCGAGTGCTTCTCGAACGTGCTGTGGGTCCTCACATGGCCACAACGCTACGCCGGCAAGGATTACGTATCTTCATCCACAGCAATATTAATTCCAAAGCTACCACAGACGAAGTTGTTATCACAAACGGCAAAAAATGCTGATCGGCCACTTCAACTTTCACCTTGCGGACTTCTTCAACTTCGAGATACGCTTTTGACTCGAAAGTTTTGCGGAACTGTATGCAAGTATCTAGCACGCTATTTGCTCCGGAATGTAAATGTCTCCGTGCAAGACCTTGCCGTCCCTGTTCGTGCAGCACATTGATACCCTCTGTTCGGCGGTTCGGCAACCTTGCGCAAGTACTCCTGGTAGCGCAAAATGCCACGAAACCTCAGCATAGCGGTGCAGGCTACTACAAGTCACGGCTAGTTCAAGCAGGGAGTCTGCGGGGCTCCGCTGGAGCTCCACGACCTAGCGTCCACCCCACAAGGAAGCAAGGTGAAGCGGTTCCTGACACATCTAGTTTGGCTGAAATGTGCCTTTTCCGGTGACCGGATCTGGACGCTCTCGCCGAAAATGCGTGGCGCCAAGTTATTCTTGCGCTGAGTGCAGCTCACTTGCCCTGCGACGGAGTCGCACGGACGACACTAGCCACGCGCAGCTTGCTTGCGGGCGCGTGCCGCCGGCATCCATGCGATGGAAACGGCGAGGTGGCCAGGAACGCGGACCCATTTTGCGTGAAAAGGGGCAGTGCATCCATTGCTTCGCGCTTTGGGCTCCCTAAAATGGGATTTTGGGGTGGGTGACGTCAATCAAGCAGCCTATGCCTATGCCGGCCGCCCATCCGAACTCTGACTCTCGCCACTATCGATTTCCCAGTGCGAGCTTCGAGACGACGACGATGGCTGCGCCGAGGGTGAAGATGCCGCTGCTGCTGCTGGCGCTGGCGGCGATGCTTCTGCTGTCGCACGCGGCGGCCGAGAGCTTGGAGTCGACCATGGGCATCATCAACACCAAGCGCTCCGTGAAGCTGGACCCGAGCGTGCAACACATTCCGCTGGACCCAGCGCAGGCGCAGCTGCGGCCGCCGCCGGCGCAGATCCCCGCGTCCTTCGACATCTTCGTTGGCCTCTCGGTCTTCCGCGACGGCTACCGCTGCGGCAAGACCATCTTCACGGGCCTCAAGCGCGCCAAGTACCCGGAGCGGCTCTTCTTCGGCGTCGTGGACCAGGTCAACGATGGCGACGAGCGTTGCCTCGACGAGTACTGCAAGATGGCGGAGGCCGAGTGGCCGGACAAGGGCCCGTGCCCGTACAAGGACCACATCCGCGTGGACGTGCACTCGGCCTCCGAGTCGCGGGGCCCCACGCTTGCGCGCCACCAGCAGCAGAAGCTCATTCAGCAGGAGGAATTCTGTCTGCAGCTCGATGGCCACAGCATCTTCACGAACCTTTGGGACGAGAACCTCTTGGCCGAGTGGAAGCGCGTCAACAATGAGATGGCCGTGCTCTCCACGTACTTGCACCACATCCACGACTTCGTCAAGGAGAACGGCGACAACGCGCTCTCGGCCTCCTTGCCGCACCTGTGCTCGACCATGCGTGGCTCCAACGGCCTAGTGCGCACTGTCGGCGCCAGTATGATCAGTGGGTCTAAGTTCCCGCAACTCGAGGCGCTTTGGGGCGCTGGTCTGTCTTTCAACAAGTGCCACGCGGAGCGCCGTGTGCCCGTGGACTCGCACACGCTCTGGATGTTTGACGGCGAGGAGTTCCTGCGTGCGACTCGCCTGTGGACTAGTGGCTACGACATGTATTCTCCTAGCGTATTGGGGTCTGTTATCTACCACAATTACTCCAAGGTGCCGGCTCGCTTCGAGCACATCACGGTGGACCCGCAGGTGAAGAAGCGCGAGAGCGAAATGGCCATCAACCGCTTCAACCATATGGTTGGTAAGCCAGTCAAGGGCCTTGTCGACACCTACGAGTTGGACAAGTATGGATTTGGCTCGGTGCGCTCGTTTGAGTCGTACTTGAAGTTTTCTGGCGTTACCTTCAAGGAAGGTGTGAACGACACCGAGTCGTGTGAACAGCTCCACTGGGTGCCGTACGAAAATGCGACAGAAGTTGAAGATCTTATGGGCAATGGCTGGAAATTGCAGGCGAAGTCGGCCAGTGTTGCTGAGCCCACTCCCAAGCAACAGGTTGCCGAGGAGGTCGAGCAAGATGCAGAAGCGCAAAGCATGACTGCCAAGAAGGGAGAGACAACTTCCACGCAGCCCACTAAGGCCCAGGGAATTATTGACGACGATCCGAATGCTGAAGTAGCCCGACATGCTGCAGATGCCCATGCTGAGAACGGAGCGGATATCGGTGAAGACGAACAGTTGGAGGAGGCGAAGGCGCGCCTGCGGCAAGAAGTGGTGGACAACCGCGCAGCAAAGGCTCCGTCTGCAGCTCCCGTTTGGTTCTTCCTTTTCGTAGTTGTGGCCGCACTCTTCGTGACACTCTCGAACGACAGTGTGTCGCGCTCGATCCGACTCATGTTTTGTGCCAGCGCACCACACACGCACAGTAGCAACGAGTAGATGGAGACAGGAAGCAGCACCAGGTAAATTTGTGGGTGCCCCTCCTTAGATGATGTCCTCAACTTTGATTCTTTACTGCGTTGCGCGTGGGCCTGTGTTGCTTTGAGTAATTGCGTCAAGTCTCCAAGACACTAATAATAAATAGGGGGCAGAGCCAATGTACGCTGTTTTCAATATCGCAGCTTACTTCAGCTGTTCTAGTAGCGACGTCAGGGCTTGCTTTGCGCTGGTGTTTAGACCATCCCCGTTAGTTTCCTCAACACGCCGGAGGACTTCAAGAACGCCATTGCCACGGCACCAGTCCAAGTTTTCGTTATTCGAAATCACAGCACTGTCCAGCGCCAGCAACGCGTTCGTCTGAAGCGACTCCAACGCTTCACCAGCGAGGTGTCGTACCAGCATTGCAAGTCCACCGGCCTCGGCCACAAGCGACTGGCTGTCGGCATTCATTTGCACGCCGTGGTGCACAGCCCAAGCAGCGCTGCTATTGACATCTTCAGCAAAAACCGGCGAGAGCAACAGCACAAGAGCAGGCAGCGCGCCACTCTCGCGAAGCAGATCCTGTGCGTCGATATCCCGTCCAGAAAGAATGTTCCCCAGAGCGAAGGCCGCTGCACTGCGCAGCGGGTCGCTGTAGTCGTCTTCAAGCAGCTCGCCCATTCGCAGCACACCGTCTTGCTCGATGATCTGCCGACGTCCCTGAGAGCTGCTAGCGATGTTCGCAACACACGTAGAAGCGGCGCGCTTGATAGCTTCGTGGGGACTCGCCAATACACCAAGAGCTGCGCTCACAACCGTCGGAGAAGACACAGCGTCAGCGGCAGTTGGCTCCAGCGCCAGGTTGCCAAGCGTGAGGCAAGCTGCCGCCTGCAGTCGTGGGTCCGTTTGCGCCAGGAAAGGGGTCAGGATCGCCGGAGACTTCAGTCTCAGCAGTTCTTGGGACAGCAGCGGCTCGGCCGACAGACGGATGAGCGCCAGGAAGGCCGGTACCAGCAGATCGGACGACGCGATCGTGTCGCTGTCCTGCAAGAAGCTCAGCAGAGCCTCCAGCGCGTCGCTGTCCACGATCTCCAGCGCATGTCGCTCCTTGACCGTCGTGTCCAACGAAGAGCTCAGCTCGAGCGCGTTGATAGCCGCCACGCGGTCCTCGGTGGACGTTTCCTTGGCCTTGAGCGCCTGCGCCAGATCGAAGATGCTGCTGCTGGACGACGTCGCGAAGCTCCGGGACGTGGCAGCGAGCGGCAGGAAGTTGCGTCCACGAGCCGAACGGGCAGGAATCGATGCAGCAGCAAACGCTCTCGTAGTGGCAGTCGCGGCAGCGGGGAACGCTCCCCAGCGACGCGCAGAGGCAGCCGCCACGCGCTTCAGCAGCACACGAACCATCTTGTGCGGCGGAGCGGTGATTGTCAAAAAATGCCGAATGTCGCTAATTCATTCATTTCAGTGACATATCGCAAATTTGTTATTCAATCTAGTGACATCTTACAATATTTCGGACACCACTTTTTGATTCATCGCGGGACGCAAGCACTATGGGCAAGAATCGCCACAGCAAGGACCGGTTGTTCATCACCCAGACGGAGCACAAGTACCTCTATGGCGGCAAGAAGCAGGAGATCCGTCGGGCCTACAAGCGTGCGTCCTTTTGTCCCTTACCGCTCCTGTTTGGTTCCCTTTCTCCTTTACTTAATCCTCTCTGGCGACGCTGCTACTGTACAGGTCTGCCATTCAACTGCTGCGCCATCACACTCTGCCCCTTCACGGTACGCACTCCGTGCCCAGTTGTCTCATGCGTGCTGTATACTAAATGGTTGTGTTGGTTGACGACTGCAGAACCCGGTGTGCACGCGCGAGGGGCACTTGTTCGACCTGGAGGCCGTTGTGCCGTACGTCAAGGAGCACCAGATCGTACGTTGTATTACTGTGTCTGCAATAGTGCTCAGATTGGTCCGATGGCAGTTCTAACTGCGGTATATTATACTGTATTCAGAACCCTGTGACGGGAAAGCCGCTTGCTCTGAAGGAGCTGATTCAACTGCACTTCAGCAAAAACTCGCAGGGAGAGTACTTCTGCCCCGTCACCTACAAGGTTTTCACCGACAACACGAAGATCGCTGCTATCGCAACTACGGGCAATGTCTTCTGCTACGAGGCCGTCGAAGAACTCAACGTCAAGCCAAAGAACTGGACGGTACGAAAACTTTCGTCGTGTCTTTAATGCGCGCCGGTTGCTAACGTTGGATATCTCTGCGGCTTTGTCGACTAGGACCTCATTTCCGGTGCCAAATTCAAGCGCAAAGACATCGTCATTTTGCAAGATCCGCAAGATTTTTCCAACCGCGAAATCGACAACTTCGAGCATCTTCGGCGCGCGAAAGCGAGCGATAATGTACGTAGCACAAATAGCCTTCACACTTTCGCCTTTGGTGGCGACAGCGATCCTGACTAATGGTGTGGTTTTGATCCATAGAGCGCTTCTACTACAGCGGCAGCTCGGAACATCCGCACCAATGCAGCTACAGACCGCATTCTTCAAGAGGTGAGTCAGTGGTTGCCCTGATAATCAAGATTAGAGAATGGAGCGCTGAAATGAACTATTGCTGATGCTATTATGTGTTGTAGCTGGAAGCTAAGAAAGCGGCGCAGAAGGAATTGACAGAAAAAATTAAACGTGGAGCTGACGACGTGTGTGAGAAGGACAAGATCGTGGCCTCGCTAACCCACAGCAAACAATCGCAAGCAGAGGAAAAGATTGCTGCTAAAAAGACGGCGCAATCGGGAAAGCTGCAGTACTCTCAGTTTACCGCTGGCGACTGCTCGAGTTCGTTCACATCTAGTGTGAGAGCTCCTGTAACGAGCAACGCAGTGGCTCTTGCATCTGAACAGGAGCTGCTGGAACGGAGGTGGCAAGCTGTGCGGAAGTTGAAGAAGAAAGGCCTCGTGCGGCTTGAGACGACCCTCGGCAATATTAATCTGGAAGTGGATTGCGACTTCGTTCCGCAAACGGCTGACAACTTCATGAGCTTGTGCCAGTCAAAATATTACGACGGCGTGCTGTTCCACCGGGTTATTAAGGGTTTCATGATGCAAGGAGGTGACCCAACTGGCACAGGTCGAGGTGGTCAATCCATTTGGAAGAAACCATTCCGTGACGAGATCGACAGCAGACTGGTGAGGCCACTTTTCCTTTTTTCTTGCAATTTGAACTGTTGTTGTAGCTGACTTGTATTGTATCGGCGTTAAATGGATAGTCGCATGATGCGCGAGGCGTACTAAGCATGGCGAACTCGGGACCGGCCACCAACAACTCCCAGTTTTTCATCACCTTCAAGGCATGCCCACACCTGGACAAGAAGCACGCTGTATTCGGCCGCGTTGTCGGAGGAATGGATGTACTGGACGCTGTTGAGAACGTAGAGACTGGTGCTGAGGATCAACCTATCGAGGATGTGCGCATTAAAAGTGTCCAAGTGTTTACGAACCCATTTCAAGAGTATGAAGAAGCCCAAGAACGGGGTCTGGATGTCGTGCAAGTTGCCAAGGAAAAGGCTGCGCAGGACGCGAAACCTAAGGTGCAAGGCACTGTTTTGAAGGTCGGGGGCAAGTGGGTTGCCTACGACGATCTGGGAGAAGTGGATGTGGCCAGTATTCCTACCTGCGAAACTACCAAGGATGAGAACGTGGGTAAATATCTTCAGACTAAGTCCGACGCAGCCACCAAGAAAAGATCATTGGAGCCCACCATGCCCACTGCCATTGAAAGCAAGAAGAAGAGTAAGAAGCAATCATCCAGCGGATTCGGCAACTTCTCCGGTTGGTAATCTTAGCGGTCCTATATACACCCGAAACGGAAAGCGGCGCTATATTGATGGGAGTGGAAAACTGACGAGCTCCACAAAGGGCTACTGCGGAAGCCGGTGTGACAAAGGATTGCGATGGACAAGTACGTAGTCGAGAAGGTCATCGGTGAGGGCACCTATGGCATCGTGTACAAGGCCAAAGAAAAAGTACGTTTCCCTGTTCTCTAGAACAATCAAGTTCGTTTGTGCTCATTTTGTACGTGCGAGCCCAGGCAACTGGTGACCACGTAGCAATTAAGAAGTTTAAGACGGCTGGAGGTAGGATAATTGTCGCTTTTCACAGTAGCGGACAACAACTTATGTGATGCCCTCGTAGATGAACAGCTATCGAAGCGAGAAATACAGGCGTGCTCTATGCTCAGCCACCCAAATATCGTATCTTACCGCAACAGTTTCCGGCACGACGGGTTCCTGCATCTAGTGTTTGACTACGTTTGTGGGGGAATGGTGAAGGTCAGCGCAACATGTACAAGTATTGCCGCTTTTGTCGAAGATCGCTAATCTCTTTCGTTAATGGCAGCTGCTGTCCAAAAACAAAAAGGGTGTGAAGGCGCAAGAGGCTAGAAAGATCATCTACCAGTTGTGCAAGGCTCTGGAGTATTGCCACTCCAATCGAATAATCCATCGAGGTACGCGAGTTCGATAAGCTCACAAAGCGTACATGTGTATGAGTATGAGTGTGTGTCTAACTCTGTGCTGTCAGATGTCAAGCCTGACAATATCCTCATTGATGAAAACGGAGACATCAAGCTGTGCGATTTCGGTAAGCAGATTCACTGCACGTAGCGAGCGACGTATCGATTGTGTAACAAACGCCGTATTTGTAGGCGTGGCGAGGACTGTGCAGTTTGAAGGTGATCCGCTGACAGACTACGTGTCGACTCGCTGGTATCGGCCGCCTGAACAGGAACTTCGGTGAGTACTTAATCCCATCCGTTCTAATGACAATGGCTCCTCCTGACGCGTTCATTTTTCTAGTTCCGATCGCTACTCTTTCGACACCGACGTTTGGGGTGTCGGTTGTGTGCTAATGGAGTTGCTCACAGGCCGACCACTTTTCCCGGGGAACACGCAAATCGATCAAATGTGAATCTGACGCTTGCATAGTCCTCAGTACAGACCTTCTTCTAATATGAGTTTTCTTGTTTGCGCACAGCAACCTTATCCAGAGTTATCTAGGACCTCTTCCTGCGGCTCTCATTCCTAGAATTCCTCGTGGCGTTGTCTCCCTCCAAGCACCGTCAAAGTCTTTCCAAGACCTTTTGGACGATCGGTCACTTCCAGAAGGAACACTCGATTTTCTCGTCAACACTCTGCAACTTGAACCCAAGCTTCGCATGTCGGCAAAGCAGTGCCTTGAACATCCATTTTTGCGATCATTGCGCGATGCAGAGCTGAGAGACCGTGAAAAGCGGCGCCGAGCAGGGCGTGGGATTCGCTTGAGTGATGATGAAGGAATTGAGGAGGACATTCCAGGAGAAGATTCGCCATCCTCTCGCCCTCACCCAAATGAGTGCAAGGCCGACCAAAAGAACGCGGAAATGGATAGCCACAAGTCTGGCCCTCACACTTTTGACTTCAAGCATGATGGCGAGAATAAAGCCGACGATACAGCATCTGCCAAGTCAAAACACCGTCGCCGTGCCTACGATAACAACACTGACTGTGACAGTGATGACATCCAAGAAATCATCGAGACTGATGAAAGCGACTCTCTGACGCGTTCACGCTCTCGACAGCAACGACACGGTGACTACAGCGATAGTATCAACAACGACTATAAGTCGCTTCGAGATGCTCCGCCTCGATCCAAAGGTGCTACACGCCGCGGGCCTCTTACGGCCTCGGCAAAAGCAGACGTGGATCCATTGGATGGCGAAAATTGCTATGAAGACGATTTCGAGGAGTACCACCACTACGAATGATTCCGAGCAAAGTACAGACGTTTCGAGCTACGGTGTGAACTTCCTGAGCACCATCCCAGCGATGCGATGGGTGGACACGTTCGGGCGTCGTCAAATGCTTTTGATCGGTGCAGTGGGCATGATCATCGGGCACCTGTTCGCCGCCATCCTGTTCACTGCAATCTGCGACGGAAACGTGGACAATGCTGGTTGCCCGAAAGTGGGTGGGTGGTTCATCTGCATCGGTACAGCCTTCTTCGTCTTCAACTTCGCCATCTCGTGGGGACCTGTGTGCTGGATCTACCCGGCCGAGATTTTCCCGCTCAACGTCCGTGCTTCGGCTGTGGCTTTGTCGACGGCTGCCAACTGGGCTATGGGCGCTGTCATGACGGAGGTCGTGAAGCTTTTCCCGTCGCTCAACATCAACGGCGTGTTTTTCCTCTTCGCGGGTCTGTGTCTGATCTGTCTGGTCTTCGTCTACTTCTTCTGCCCGGAGACAAAGGGCATTTTACTGGAAGACATTGAGGTTCTTTTCCACAAGAGAAAGGCGGCCCAGTCGCCGAACTTTGTCGAGGTGAAGTCGCCGGTCAGCTTGGCCTAGGATGGGGGGTCTGTCGTGAGCTGCAAACAAAGGAGTCGAGAAATCAAAGTGTTAATACAGAACATTGCTCCAACCACGTAGTACAGGTATAGTTTGATGAATATTTGGGCCAAAGTCGTGCGTGTTCTTAGATGCCTGCCTGGGTGATGTCCTTGATGATAAGCGCACCATAGCTCATGATGGGGTTGATGCCAGTGGCTTGCTGCAACACCTGCAGTAGCATGGCGATAATCAAGCGCTTGCGCAGCGACACGTTGGTGACGAGGTCCAAGATGCCCTCGCCACCAGCCTCCTCTTCAGCGATCTGATCACCGATGGCTTCCAGCTCATGTCCGACACTTTCGGTCATTCGAAGCTTCTTCAAAACCTTCTCGGCCCCCGCCTTACCCTTCTTCTTGTACGTCCAGCGAGGGCTCTCGGGCATGAACCAAATGCCAAGAAGCACGACAATGGGCGGCGCCATGGAGACACCGTTGGTTGTACGCCACCCGCGGTTGCGGTTCTCCACGATGATGTTAACCACGTTCGCTAGGAACAGTCCGATCACACAGGTCATCTGCATGAAACCAGACAACATTCCTCGGAGCTCCTTGGGGGCCATTTCGGCACCGAAGAGCGGCAGCGAGAAGGACGAGTTGCCCACTCCGAATCCTTGGATGATACGGGCGATGTACATGAGCGAGTGTGCGTGGGCCTTATTGAAGCAGACCCAGCAAGTACCGCCACAGAACAGCAAACCTGCCGAGAAGATCGTCGCTCGGCGACCGAATTTGTCAGCTATGATGCCGCCCATGAAGGCACCCACAAGACAACCCAAGTTGTACGCCATGTTGTACCAAACAGTGAACGTTGTCCACTCGCTCGGCAGGTCCGAGGTCGATTTCGTGCAGTCTGCGTAGGTGAAGTTGTGCCAGCCCACGCAGTAATCGTTGAGGAACGAATCCATGATGAGCACTCCAGACGTCACGCCTTGATCATAGCCGAAGAAGATGCCTCCCAACGACGCAAAGACGCAGACGATGATAGCGTACGTGCGCGAGCCCTCGGTCGGCGTGTCGTCGATATCGGGCGTGTTCACAATGACTCCGGCTGCCATGCTTCAAAGTCTCCGAGGCGATGCTTGACTGGAAGGCACTTGAGTGGTTGGAGGCGAATTGCAGAATGAATGGACTTCTGGAGCTCTCGGTCTTGTCAGCGAAACAAGTAGGGGAAAACAAGACGGTATCGTAGTGGTCATTGATGCGTGAGCAGTTCGTTGAAGTTGCCTCGTTAAACGCGTGCAAGTTACAGCAGTCTCGGAGCACTCATACTACAAGTGATAGAGTCTAGGGTGCACTACCGGTAGTACTTGTTGCCCTCTGCGCAACTTGATTTATTGCTCCATGAGAACAGCCACACACTGCATGGGGAAGTCGACAAGAAGGCAACTCGACTCCACGTCCCGCAGCAAACTTCAAGTCCGGAAAGCTTTGCACAGTCAGCCACAATGGTCCACTTTGGAAAGTGTAAGTGGCACTTACGCGGAGTAAGGTGATAGATCTATCCGAGCGACCTGAGGGCCTTCCTCGGTGAGGGGCACGCCCGTTGCAGGCGGCGGGTATGCCATGCTTTTGATCGAGCATGATCCGCAACATCAATTGGAAGTTAAACCGAGTTTCTGAAGTGACCTGGCTCAGCCAACCTCTTGTTTCTGAACTTCAACCGCGACTGGCACTATTGGGGCCCCCAATGGGGGACCGTCGGAACTGACAAGTTGTCAGTGACAACAGACCACGAGTCGTGGTCCACGACAGACCTCGTGGTCATGAGTCATTCTGTCAAAAGTAAGCTCTTTGTGTACTACTACTATTTTAATATTAAAACAGGTAGCATACCGGTTGGTAGTGATTTAGCGAGCTCAAGCTAATGCCGTCGTTCAGCGCTTTTCATCTCGTACAGCAGCGACCGAATGGTGTCGTACCGCTGATCTTGTGACCATCCGATCCCAAATGCTTGGAGACAGCATCCAAGGCGGAATAGCAACTCCGCGATTGTTCTGTCCCAATGGGGCTCGTAACCCTCGTATGTTAACCCTTCCATCGTCTCCTTCACGAACTGGAGGCGGTTTTCAAACACAGAAACGCTGTACGTGTCGTCACGACACCATCCACGCACCTCAACTAGCATCTTGCAGAGTTTCTCTTGGGATGACAGCGACTTCGTCCGCGGGGGTCTCGTACTTGGTCGAAATGTACCTCCGCAGCTTCGCTGTCTCGGGGAACTCCCGCGGTAAACGCTGCATGAGAACAAGAATGGCTCGCAACTCACTTCGCTCCACACGAATCTCTCTCTGGACAATGCTGAGAACTGTAGAGGTCACCGCTGCCTGGATGTTGTCCATGTACAACGCGATGTCCGCTCCACGGTCCTTCGCGTCTGCAAGGGTGCGGCATGTTTCTTGCAGTTGGGCAATCGCCGTGTGGAATAACGAGTGTCGCACTGCTAGCAAACACGAGCGCACCACTGACCCGAATTCGCCTCGCGGAGCAAGCGCCAGTCTCTTTTCCAGAACCTCGTCGGGGGTGAGTTTCTTGACTGGTGGAAGGGACAGGGGGTCAAGATAGCGCTCGGGTGCCTTACGCTTGCGGCTGCTTGGTCTGCGTGGAGGGAGCGGCTCGGCTCTAGTTCGCGTTTCACGAGCAAAAGGGCGTATCTTTCTCACTACACCACGATGTTGCGGAGATGGCGTCGGGGAAGTGGGTCTGCTCACGGACTGAGACGTTGTTCGAGCAGCCATCTCGTCATTCTCTCTTGGTGCTGCGTGCTCCAGCACATCATTGTCTGCTTCCCGCGTTTCTGCCGGCTCTGGGGTCGGGCTCATTATGCTCCTCCTGCGGGGCCTCAGGTTCCATGAGGTCGATGATCTCGTGAGGCGCAGCGGCCCGCTCGTCCTCATCCTCGGTCGCGGACGACGACGCATCCCCTTCGTCCGCTACCGCAGCACCAGGAAGATTCACTGCATGGTGCAGCTTCCTCATGAGAGGCCCAACATCGTTGCAAGAACTCACGACACGAGTTAGCACGGCGGAGACGCTGGGGGAAGCGTCCGCCAACGCCAGCGGCGACGTGTGCAGCTCGCGGGACGCCTCCGCCACCTGCAGCGCCCGCTTGAGGGCCTTCAGAGCCTTGAGCAGCCGCTTCTCCGCTTGCTGCATTTCATCCTGGACGGCGGCCAAGCAGTGCGCTTGGAGGGCAGCGTCGCTGACGCGGGTCATTGCGATCGCAAAAATGTGTCAGAATCCAAAATCTGAAGATCCAAATCTAGTCCAAGATTCAGATCTACTGTATGGATAACGTGGTTTACCAATTCATGACCAGTTCATGGACTAAAGCGACTATTATCCAATCCAATCTTCTTATTTTGACTAATATTGCTCTGATTGGCTCAATATTTTTTAACCAGATCTTGGCCCTCACTTTTCCTTACGCTGATCCCGTCAGATATCGAGTCGAGCGTAAGATGAAGGCGGCCTTCACAGACAAGCAGCTAGAAGAAGCTATGGACCGCGTCCTCGCAGGAGAGAAGCTCGCAGTCGTGGCCAACCCGTCACCAGTGTCGTTGTCAACACTAAAGCGCAAAGGCGACTTTGCGCCGCGCGCAGCGAAGGTCGATCTATTGAGCGCCAACGGCCCGGACCTGCCCCCCTGCTGCCCCCCGAGTGTGAAGCCGATCTAGTGGCATGGATTGGCGCCGAAGTGCCTGCAGTGGAGCCGCTGTTCATCATCGAGAGCGCAACGGTTTGAGTTTGGTATGAGACTTTGTATGGGTCCAACATCTGGTCAGTGCGTCATAAAAAAATAAATTTCCGCTTTGTTTGCTTCGCTATTGCTTGCTCATATTTGATCATAAATTGGTGCGAGGACCCTAAAAATTAAGCGTACCGACTGCTTGTATAAATGCTAGCGTTGTAGGATCGCTGCTCTAATATTGGTGTCGTCATCGACGATTTCGCACGAGGTGCTGCTGGCGGGTCATGAATTGGTAAACCACGTTAGTAGTCTATTATCCGGACAGGTTTGAGCATTTTTTTTAATTTGAATTTGCCGCGAAAATGGACGTGATACTATCGCGTGCTGGGCTTAGCGCCACTCAGCAGCGCACGGTCTGCTACGGTGCTATGAAGGACGAGGTGACGAAGACAGAGGCCAAGCTGGCAGTGTAACGGGGTAAGAGATACCGTCACTAGCGTACACTGTAGATAAGAGGAAGCTTGCAATAATAAGCTCAAGTCTTGTCTTTAGGGTAAAATCAACTCTGTTTATGTATGGGACGGGGGACGGAGGCCCCCTTACTAGGCTCCCCAACGTTGTGGCTCACAACGTTTCCCAACAGATGGAAACAACAACGTTGTAGGTTGAGGTTGAGTTGGGGCAATACGTTTCACAACCACAAATTGCTCTGTCCAAGAAAAACTTATGCATATCATACAATTCAGTAGGTGGCAATCGAAGTGCACATCTTATTTTGAAGCAGTTTCGCAAAACTGGGCACAGATCGTGTTTGGAGACCTATCGTACCATGGACGCCGCTCCCGGGACTCCCGGCAGACGACCGCCAAACGAGTAGTTCGCACTCCTGTACGTCAAGCAACAACGCGGGGGCTTCGAAGTTCAACGTCGGTTCAGCGCTCGTCACGTGGGACGGCATCACGAGCTCGGGCGACACCAAGAACTCCACGCGGTCGCCCACTACCGAGACGTTCTCCTCGGCTTCAACCTCCTCGCCCAACGACAGTTCATGCTGAGCGCTTACCCCCTCGCATCCCAGAGCCGAGTGTTCAGTTTAAAATGGACGGTGCTCATCGCCCTGAACGATGGGAATTCATTTTCCTTGTTCCCCACGAGCAGTTTGCTTCTGTTCCGAAGGACAAATTGATCTCTAAGCAAGCTGCATTTACATACTGTACGGAATGCAGTTGTAAGGTGACGTACTCGCATGGAGCCACTACTGCTGTGAAGGTGCACATGGAAAAGTACCACATGGAAGTTCTACTACGTGCGAAGCAAGCGCAACAAGAGGAGAGGGTCAGGTCGGCTAAGCGTCAACTGGAGAATGCGTATGACCAAGCACCTGAGTCGTCGAAGAAGCAGCTCACGGAAGTCTCGGACGCCGTACAGACGTATGTGAATGGGCTACTTGCGAAGTGGGTAGCGCAAAGTATGCGGCCATTATCGATTCTCGAAGACCCATGGCTGCTGGAATTTATTCGATTTATTACGCAGGAGCTGGCTGGCGTCATCTTGGACGTTCCTGGAGCAACGCAAATTCGTGCGGATATTGTCCGTGTGGCGGCGGAGCTTCGTGCATCATTGAAGTCTTAGATCCGTAGCAGCTGCCAGTTTTTTTGCATTACGACGGATATCTGGACGAGCAAACGGGCGCAGAGCTATATGTCGTTTACTTTGCATTACGCGGAGGAAGACTTTACACTATGTAGCTGGGTTCTCGAAGTGGAGGCATTTCCTGGCATGCATACCGGTGTCGCCATTGCCAACGGCCTGGAGGGTATGATGGAGCGTTGGGAGTTATAGGCAGAACTGTGTACGTTGCTGGTTCGTGATGGCGCCTCGAACGCAGTTCTTGCAGCTGAGTTCATGGGTGTCAACAACATGTCATGTATTGCGCATTCGCTTCACTTGGTTCTTAGCGCTGCTTTAGCGCGACAGAAAGAAGATACGGCCGTTGTTGATGCGGCTGCAACTGACAGCGAGGTTCCAGTCGGTAACACAACTCCTGAGACCGCTGTCCACCCAGCGGCTCACTCGGTCATCCACCCTACTGGCCATCTCGATCAAGAGGACGAAGTTGTCCAAGCCCCAGAAGCAGAACAACAAGCTGCCGTAAATGCTGTTGAACTTTTTGTAGCCACGTCGCTGTCAAGCCGTGATTCGACGGCAAAATCAGCGTTGGGGCAAATGCGCGATATTGTTCAGCGTTTTAGAAGCCTCGCCACGTATTTTCACAAGTCACCCAAGGCGACAAACCGACTTGACCAGATTCAACTCAAAGACTGGAAGCGCTCGGCACTGCATCTCATCACCGATTGCCCCACGCGGTGGAACTCATGTCGCGACATGCTGGCCCGATTGATCGAGCTACAGGCACCCTTGGATGATTTCTTCAGTCGTCTAGAGAGACCGGAGTTCAAGGAAGAGTTCAGAGACTTGAGTCGTGATAAACTTCCGAAGCCGAGAGAATGGTTTGCAATCAGGTGCCTGGTAGCCGTGCTGGATCCTATCGCAGCTGTGACGAAAGTGCTCAGTGGGGACTCCTATCCGACTTTGACACTGGCATTCCCTATGCTACGCAGGATCAAAGCGGTACTGGGCGACTCCGACATCTTCTCGAAGCAAGCGGCATTGGTCGGACGCCAGGAGTTCCAGCGTGAGGTCCTCGAGCTGGTGAAAAATGTGCGCAAAGCCGTTCTGCACCTCTTCACGCAGCGGTTTAGAGGGATGAGCTTCGACCTGGTCTGGATAACGTTCCTTGACCCTCTCTTCCACAAGATGAAACTACTGACGCAATCCGAAATCGAGGAAGCCAAGAAATGTTTGGTTGATGCTGCTGCACTTGCTGTACGCAATTCCACCGGAGAATCAGCTACGCCTGTTCCAGACGCTCGTGTCCGTCCGGCAAACTCATCGCCAAGCGATGATACTGCCGCTGTCTGGGATGATCTGCTGCGGTCGGACGACGAAGATGTCAACACTCGCACCGACCCTACTTTCCAAAAAGTGCAACTAAGTTGTGCAAGCGAGTTCGTGGCATACCTGGAAGAGGCCAAGACAGTCCCACGAGATCAAAATCCGCTCACGTGGTGGTCCGTTAACGGTCACAAGTATCCATCGCTGAAGCTGCTTGCCAGGAAATGGTTGGGCTGCGTTGCTACCTCCGTGCCTTCTGAAAGAGCCTTCTCCACTGCAGGTAATGTCGTGACTGCAAAGCGCTGTCAAATGGACCCTGATCTTGTTCGCGACATCGTTTTCATATCCGAGAACTGCGGAAACCCCCAGAAGAAATAAACTCGACTTGACGCCAAAGCATGCTTGCCCCCGTAATTCATACCGATTGCTGCCGCATAGCACCACTCTCCTTCACAAGTTGTTGATTCCTCCCAGGATATGCCATGTGCTCGTGCACCACCATGCTGTAGCGGACGGCCACTAGGCCCTGCCGAATCAACAGGCGCTGCTCGTCGCGCTCCAGCACTGCGTCTAAGTCCTCCAAGTACCCCCATGATCCTGCTTCAACCTCGTCTTGAAGCCCGTACTGATCGCAGACACAAAGTGCACCGACTTGACGCCAGTGCGACTCAGCGCCAAGAAGAAGTCGTAGTCCGGCATCGGCAGCAGCGTCGACACCGTCCCAGGGTACCTCGCGCTCAACGCGCTCAACGTTCCGCGCGGGTACGACTAGAGCTCCGACTGGTCGAACAGTGCGCCAGAGCTTTCGCGGCGGAAACGCCCGTCCGTGCGCGTGAAGAGCTTGCTCATGCGCAAGAAGTACGTGTCGTGCACTCAGCGCTGCGACTTGCTTTCCACCCCCACTTAGGTCAAGTCGACCAAGCGGGTCAGCACGTCTCCGAATGACATTTCCTCAAGCTCCGCCGGGAAAACCTCGGCCGTCTCGACGTTGCACTCGCAGCCGAAGTACGGGTTCTGGTAGTCGGCATTCAGGCGCACGATGATGTCCTGCTTGTTCAGGCGGAGGGCCAGCTCCACCTGCTCGCGCGGGATCGAGAAGTACTTGTTGTCAAACTCCTTCCACAGCACAGCGCAGCGGTTAGCCACCACGTGGATCGGCTCGCCAGCTCCGACGCCACCGTGACAACGTCGCCCGCGACGCTCGTGTAGCTCGTCTCCCACTCCAGCTCCGACTCGATACCAGGCGTGTCCACCAGCAGCTTCTTCACTGCCGGCGCGGTCGCGGCCTCCTTCGCGACCATCACGCGAGAGCCCATCAGGATACCATCTGCAGGCATCTTGTGCAGGTGGCCGCGGGCCAGACTCCACTCGCCCGTGAGGTACTGCTTCGAGTCCTCCCAGTTGCCGAAGCCAGAGCCCACCACCACCAGCACGTTCGACACGCGACGATTGGCGGCGTACGTCTCCTCCATCGGCTGGTGGAAGTCCTCAAAGCTTTGGTGGCCACCAGCGCGGCCGTCAGTCCACTGCAGCATCACGGTCATTGACGCATCGCCGCGGCAATCTCCAGCACCGCGTGGATACCGTCCACCGAACCGGGCTTGAAGCACACCACCTTGATGCCAACGGCCTCCAGCTGTGACATCATCTCAAGCGCACGCTCCTGCGTCGGGATACCGGCACCAATCGTGATGCTCTCGATAGGCACGCCGCTGCGGCGCATACGAAGCACCATCGGGAACTGGAAGCCCCACTGCTTCGCGGTCAGGTACAGCATGTTGGTTGCGATGCCGAGGCCAGGCTTGATCTTCGACACCAGCTCGTCCACCGCGTCCTCGAAGATGTTCGGGCGCAACAGACCACCCGCCGCAAGCTCGCCGTGGAAACCCGCGTTCTGGATAGCCGCAACGAGGTCGATACCTTTCAGGCTCGTCGTGGGCGTCATACCCGCGACCATGATGGGAGGCTTGTTCAGCACGCGCGTGAATCTGTTGTAGATCTTGCCCGACGCCGTCACCTGCGGGCCGAACTTCTTTTCCCACGCCGCCTCGGCCGGGGTGAGGCTCGGCGCAGCGTCGATGAACTGCTGCAGACCGATGTGAGGGTCGTACTTCGTCGATGTGCTCATAATCGGATGCTGGGCGGTCGCAATGACCACCTCGATGCCCAGGCCTTCCGCAAACTTGTCGCTCAGCTTTGCTACGCCAAGATCGGGTCCAAACGCCAGCACGTGAGTTGCGCTCGAGTGGTGCTCCGCGATCTTTGCCCACGTCGCCGTCCAGTCCACGAGCTTCAGCAACTGCATGTTAATAAGTATATCGACAACGTCGTCCACCGTCTGCAGGTGGTTGCCTCCGTAGCGTTCACGGGCACCTACCGCTGGCTGCCCTTGATGGCGCACTTGACGCGCTCAGCGTCCTGGACCAGCTTCGGCTTGGCCTCTGTCAGCAGCGGTGTGTGGAAAGGAGCCGACAGCGGCAAGAACGACAGCGAGCCCGTGGGCTTCCGCTGTGAGTGCGGGATGCGCGTCTGGTTGGCGTCGGGCTGGGCGAACAGGCCTTCCAGCGCCTGCTTCAGCAGCATCAGCGTGGCGGGGAAGCCCGTCACGTTCACCACGTCCGACGCGTTGATGAGCGACAGCTGCAGGTCGGGCGTCTTGGTGCGGCGCTTGGTCACCTCGATGGCCTTGACCACGTGCTCCTTCTTGAGGCCGCGCACGGCCCGCATCAGGCCGGCGTCCGCTACCTTCTTGGCGTCCTGCCCGTAGGAGCTGGTCGTACGTCTCCTGCGCGCGCAGTCCCTGCCAGAACTTGTAGCGCAGGACGCAGACACCGATCGCGGCGAACTCCTCGGCCGTCTTGGTCGCCAAGAAGATAACGGCGCTCACCACGCCCTGGCTGTGGCCGACGGCCGTGGCGGAGCTCTTGACCACGCTCTCGTGGCTCACGCCCGCCGACCCGAGGAAGTTGAGGTAGTTGGCGCACTGCGTCAGCTCCACCAGCGGCATGCTGAAGTACACGCGGTCGAGCGCCAAGTCTGCGGGCGCGTCGCCGACCTCCAGGCTCTGCAGCCAGCTGTGCACGACGACCGCCTCGACGACGGCGACGTTTTGAAGCGTCTGTACAAAACAAAATATAAATTTTCATAAATCGGTTTGTCAACGTTTTTTATAAAGCTGAACAGGTAAAACCAACGTTTCTCTGAACGGACAAACGTTGGGGAGCCTACCCCTTACCTTGTGAACCACTCAAATCTAAGTCTGCACCTGATTGGATGAAATGGGTCTGGCTCCCCCCTTTCAACCAATCAGAACATGACAGCAGGTCACACGCTAGCCGTGTGACTGCACCTACTTTTGTGTATGTACCTATGTAACTTCTACCTACTTATGTAAATGGGCCCTTTACATCACCCTCCTCTCGAAGTTGCGCTTAGGTAACTTAACCCACCGGCGACCCGATTTTGCAGGGATAAGATTAATATAGAAAATTGTATACCAGCGGGATAGGGTAAGCGAGGTCCCCAGTGGATGGCGCCGACCCTTCGGGCTTCATCGACTTTCAATCTCATTGGTTAGATTTATCCAATCAAAAGTTGGCTAAGGCCTTAATTCTGAGCGGGTTCAACACTAAGCATGAAAAACCTTGGCGTAAATTGTCCTAAAGATCGAGATATTTCCATCTGTAGAGAATCCAAATCAAATTGTTGTGAAACATGAGCGAAAAATTGTGGCACTAATAAACTCACCCTTGCAGCTACAAGAGCCCTGTTGATCTTACTCTGGATGGCCCTGTTCAACAACGCGGCAGTAGTCCCTCACGAGCCTGCCGATACCGCGGCGTCAAGGTTTCATCGGTAAGCTGCCGTTGTAGTGCGGCGGAGTGACCTAGATAACACCAGCGATCTGTCCATCTAGAGCATTGGTGTATCACATCGACGGAGTGGGCGCATAGAGCCCTTCTAATATAAGCGCCTAGAATGAGTAGAAAGCGCTGCGCAAGTGCTGCAGCGTCAAAATATAGTGTGTCACATGGAGCTGCCATTATTATTCCGGCACCATGCATGCCCCCCACGCGTGTTGACGGGGTTGCTGTTACTCTTGATGCTCCGAGACTTTTGCGCCATGATTTCTAACCGCTGTTTGTCTTAAGAACATGTTGGCGCCTTCCTAATATGCAGTTCCGATGTAAGGGTATGCTACTTTGCTAGCACCAGTTTCATGTTTGAGCGGACCGCAAAAGCTGCCGAGTCAGAGGCGACAAGCTAACAAAACCTGGATTAGGTTGCTATGCGACCGCTTTGGTCTATACGAGAGATACATGACGAGAACAATCAAGCATAGCTGAGGGTCTTTAGCCGTTTCTTTCCGGCGTCTACGCTGCCGAAGTCGATGAGGCACGTGCTTCTACTGGTTTTGGTATAAACTTGATGAAGCGACGTTGGCCGTGGCCAGATGCTCGCGTGGCCATGTCTGTTGGCTATTGTATGACCAACCACGTCAACGTTGCTTCGCCGTTTTGTCAATATTGGCATGCTTGTGTTGATCTGACTATACGAATTGACATAGCATCAGACATGTCGACATTGACCTATTTGACTAGGTTTTTGTATGGATTCATGTCGTGATTGACTCCGATATGACAGCAGTGAGATGTTTGGCTTGGTTTCAGTATAACTCAATGCAAACAAGTGGGTGTATTGTTCCGTTACTCCATGAATCTGATGGAGTCATCAGGGGACGCGAACGGGATGGCCGTGTCGGGCATGTTGGCGTCAGCGCGCGTGCCGCAAATATCGGGCATGTTGGGAACCGCGGTATGTCGACGACCACGGGCGTGTCACCCTGCCACGGTTATCAGGACCAAGCACGCGATGATCAAGTCAGACATGTCGAGGTCGGCGAGCGTGCCGTCCATCCCAGGCATATTAAGAGCCGCCGGGATGTAGGCGGTGCCGGGCATGTAGGGGACCGCGGGCGTAGCATCCTTGGTGGGTTAACCAGGGCCATACACGGGGTAGTCGAGTCGGGCATGATGGGATCCTCGGGCATGTCGTCCGTGTCGGCCATGGCGGTCGCCTCGGGCACGGCGTCCGTTTCGGGCATGGCGGCGGCCTCGGGCAACAGGCATGTCGGGAGCATCGGGCATGTCGACGGCCTCGGGAAACAGGCATGGCGGGGGTGTCGAGCATGTCGGCGGCCTCGGGCACGGCTTCGGAGTCGGGCATGGCGGAGGCCTCGGGAAACAGGCATGGCCGGGGCATCAGGCATGTCGGTGGCCTCGGGTGTGGTGTCGGAGTCGGGCATGTTGGTCGCCTCGGGCATGGCCTACAGGTCGGGCATGTCGGTGGACTCGGGCATGACGTTGGCGGGGGCGTCGGGCTTGGCGGTGGCCTCGGGCATGACGTCAGCGTCGGGCGCGTCGGGCATACCGGCGGCCGCGAGCGTGGCGTCGGAGTCGGGCATGCCAGTGGCCTTGAGCAACGGGCATGGCGGGGGTGTCCAGCATGTCGGCGGCCTCGGGCATGGCGGTGGCCTCGGGCACGACGTCCGGGTCGAGAATGTCGGCGGCCTCGGGCATGACTTCAGCGTCGGGCGCGTCGGGCATACTGGCGGCCGCGAGCGTGGCGTCGGAGTCGGGCATGCCAGTGGCCTTGAGCAACGTGCATGGCGGGGGTGGCCAGCAAGTAGGCGGCCTCGGGCATGGCGGTGGCCTCGGGCATGGCGGTGGCCTCGGGCACGACGTCCGGGTCGAGAATGTCGGCGGCCTCGGGCATGACTTCAGCGTCGGGCGCGTCGGGCATACTGGCGGCCGCGAGCGTGGCGTCGGAGTCGGGCATGCCAGTGGCCTTGAGCAACGGGCATGGCGGGGGTGTCCAGCATGTCGGCGGCCTCGGGCATGGCGGTGGCCTCGGGCACGACGTCCGGGTCGAGAATGTCGGCGGCCTCGGGCATGACTTCAGCGTCGGGCGCGTCGGGCATACTGGCGGCCGCGAGCGTGGCGTCGGAGTCGGGCATGCCAGTGGCCTTGAGCAACGTGCATGGCGGGGGTGGCCAGCAAGTAGGCGGCCTCGGGCATGGCGGTGGCCTCGGGCACGACGTTCGGGTCGAGAATGTCGGCGGCCTCGGGCATGACTTCAGCGTCGGGCGCGTCGGGCATACTGGCGGCCGCGAGCGTGGCGTCGGAGTCGGGCATGCCAGTGGCCTTGAGCAACGTGCATGGCGGGGGTGGCCAGCAAGTAGGCGGCCTCGGGCATGGCGGTGGCCTCGGGCACGACGTTCGGGTCGAGAATGTCGGCGGCCTCGGGCATGACTTCAGCGTCGGGCGCGTCGGGCATACTGGCGGCCGCGAGCGTGGCGTCGGAGTCGGGCATGCCAGTGGCCTTGAGCAACGGGCATGGCGGGGGTGTCCAGCAAGTAGGCGGCCTCGGGCATGGCGGTGGCCTCGGGCACGACGTTCGGGTCGAGAATGTCGGCGGCCTCGGGCATGACTTCAGCGTCGGGCGCGTCGGGCATACTGGCGGCCGCGAGCGTGGCGTCGGAGTCGGGCATGCCAGTGGCCTTGAGCAACGGGCATGGCGGGGGTGTCCAGCAAGTAGGCGGCCTCGGGCATGGCGGTGGCCTCGGGCACGACGTTCGGGTCGAGAATGTCGGTGGCCTCGGGCATCACTTCAGCGTCGGGCGCGTCGGGCATACCGGCGGCCGCGAGCGTGGCGTCGGAGTCGGGCATGCCAGTGGCCTTGAGCAACGGGCATGGCGGGGGTGGCCAGCAAGTAGGCGGCCTCGGGCATGGCGGTGGCCTCGGGCACGACGTTCGGGTCGAGAATGTCGGCGGCCTCGGGCATGACTTCAGCGTCGGGCGCGTCGGGCATACTGGCGGCCGCGAGCGTGGCGTCGGAGTCGGGCATGCCAGTGGCCTTGAGCAACGTGCATGGCGGGGGTGGCCAGCAAGTAGGCGGCCTCGGGCATGGCGGTGGCCTCGGGCACGACGTTCGGGTCGAGAATGTCGGCGGCCTCGGGCATGACTTCAGCGTCGGGCGCGTCGGGCATACTGGCGGCCGCGAGCGTGGCGTCGGAGTCGGGCATGCCAGTGGCCTTGAGCAACGGGCATGGCGGGGGTGGCCAGCAAGTAGGCGGCCTCGGGCATGGCGGTGGCCTCGGGCACGACGTTCGGGTCGAGAATGTCGGTGGCCTCGGGCATGACGTCAGCGTCGGGCGCGTCGGGCATACCGGCGGCCGCGAGCGTGGCGTCGGAGTCGGGCATGCCAGTGGCCTTGAGCAACGGGCATGGCGGGGGTGGCCAGCAAGTAGGCGGCCTCGGGCATGGCGGTGGCCTCGTGAATGGCGTCCACGTTGGTCATGGCGTGGCCACGATATTGGAGACACTTGAGTGCTTGTCAGCGTTTTGAGAAATGAGCTACCGATACGGAGCGGCGGCGAGGTTCGGTTCCGTTCACACGCGCACGAAGACGCGTCTCGATTCCGAACCCGGGGGAAAAATTGTAAGTAAATATATTGGTTATTTTAGGAGTAATTGACGATCATTGGTGGAATGGTTGGAATACATGCGATGATTGGTGGACTTGCTTCATGGCAGCAGGATCCACATGGCGCGAAAGTGACGAAGATGTGCACGTTGAAGTGATCGCGTGACGTGCATAACGTAGCTAAGGTGTGGAAGTCGTAAGTGGCAGTAGCGCCACAAACTAGATCGTCCAGCATTTTGCTTACCGATAAAAGAACCCATTTTGGCCGCAGTGACGGACACCGGCGGCTGTGATCACAGCCGCCGGCCGTCCTAGCTTTAGTATCGCGCTCAGAAACGATTATACGATGCAATATAACTATTCTAGGCTGCGGCGCCGGCCCCGCACGTGTCGGTGGCGCTGCATGCACCGAGATTACTACTGTTATAATAGGAAATCAAGCCAACGTTGACTCCGTTTGATGGTGATATTAAGTCAAGGTGGGGATAATCCACTTGCTGTCGACATGAGCGGGGAGCCTAGAATGGTTTGATTGCATCGTATAATCGTTTCTGAGCGCGATACTAAAGCTAGGACGGCCGGCGGCTGTGATCACAGCCGCCGGTGTCCGTCACTGCGGCCAAAATGGGTTCTTTTATTGGTAAGCAAAATGCTGGACGATCTAGTTTGTGGCGCTACTGCCACTTACGACTTCCACACCTTAGCTACGTTATGCACGTCACGCGATCACTTCAACGTGCACATCTTCGTCACGTTCGCGCCATGTGGATCCTGCTGCCATGAAGCAAGTCCACCAATCATCGCATGTATTCCAACCATTCCACCAATGATCGTCAATTACTCCTAAAATAACCAATATATTTACTTACAATTTTTCCCCCGGGTTCGGAATCGAGACGCGTCTTCGTGAGCGTGTGAACGGAACCGAACCTCGCCGCCGCTCCGTATCGGTAGCTCATTTCTCAAAACGCTGACAAGCACTCAAGTGTCTCCAATATCGTGGCCACGCCATGACCAACGTGGACGCCATTCACGAGGCCACCGCCATGCCCGAGGCCGCCGACATGTCCGACACCCCCGCCATGCCTGTTGCCCGAGGCCGCCGCCATGCCCGACACGGACGACGTGGCCAAGGCCACCGCCATGCCCGATGCCCCCGCCATGATCGTTGCTCAAGGCCACTGGCATGCCCGACTCCGACGCCACGCTCGAGGCCGCCGGTATGCCCGACGTGCCCGACGCTGACGTCATGCCCGACGCCCCCGCCATGTCCGACTCTGACGTCATGCCTGAGGCCGCCGACATTCTCGACCCGGACGTCGTGCCCGAGGCCACCTGTGAAAAGTCTCGGTGGATTTCGCCACCGAACCCATGTCCAGCTGACCCGTATCAATCCAGGATGCTGACCCGTATCAATCAAGCAGATTTCAAGTGCGTCATGGCCGCGATGGATCTGGACCACCAACTGTCGGACATGAGCCGTGAGACGAAGGAAGCTGAGCCCGAGGTCTGGGCGGAGCTCCGCTCAGACTCTGGGCTTGAGCGAAGATTGTCTGAGACCCGAGATGTCTGGTGTTGGGTATCCCAAGTCTGAGCTGAGTCCAGGAAGCAGAGAGAAGCTACGCGGAGTTTGAGCTGAGCCTCGAGTGTGATGACCGGAGTCCCCGCTCAGGTCGAGGAGCTGAGCGGAGCCGGGTGGAGTTTGAACTCAACCTCCCCAGCGGTTGTGGAGCCGTCGTCCAAGATGCCGAGATGAGTCGAGGAGCAGGCGTCCGAGCGAGGTCGTGCCGAGCCGGGCCCAGCTTTTACTGTGGTCATGGAGCTTTCACCCAAGTCGACAAGCTGGGCGAGGATCGAAGGTCTGAGCGGGGTGACGTGGAGTCCAAGCCCGGCCTCGAATGCGATGTTTGAAGTCTTTGCTCAAGTCGAGAAGCCGAGCGGAGTGGCATGGGCCTGAGTGGAGTTGTCGGAGTCCAGTTGAAGTGCCGGGTGAAGAGTCGCTGAACTTAAGTCCAGACAGTGGTACTGACGGCGAAGTTGGTGGCACCGGCGAGTACACTCATCCGGTGAATCAGCCATGAGCCAGCCTACATTGGGTGCGACCGCCCAAGATCGCGGACACTTCAAGCGGATCTCAACGGCCTCCAGCGGCTCCAAGACGACGCCCGCCGACGTGGAGCCGCCGCATTGGCCAAGACCAAGGATATCGGGCGGATCTTCAAGGGCGCCCGGTAAGCATACAGCCGATGCTCTTCGCGCAGCCAGTCAGTGTGGATATTGAGCCCCCACTTAGTGAGTCCTAGTTTGTGCATGTGTAAACAGTTAAACAGAGTTCGTTTTGCCCCGACGGACGCAAGTGGTGGAGGTCTTTGGCCAGAAGGTGTCTTGGCGATCATCCACACAATTCAAGCTAACATATCAACGTTGTCAGAGTGCTTCGGTGCGACGACAGTACGGTTATTTCATATTACTGTTACATCTTAGGGTGTATTTCATATTTTCGGGTGGAAGGTGATCCATTCTGAGGTTTAGGCAGGGTAATTGTATTGTGTGCTTGGGGACATTGGCGTGCCCCGGTGCATTGTGTGATTATTAGTATCGGTTCATTGTGGACCTGGTGCGCGGGTAGTCCCAGGGTGTGTGTGAGTGCCTTGGATTCGAACTAGGCTCAAACCGAGTCACTAACTCCAGACCGGGTCGTTGCTTGACTCGAAGAGAAGAAAGGAGAAGCTGGTACGAGCCTCGCCCAGGTTCAGAGAAATAAAGGCGAACTCGGCCCAGACCCAGGCCGACCGGGAAAGAAGGGGTGTTGTGGTTCTGAGCCGGAACCAAAGAGAGGAAGTGGAGGCTATATTGTGTGTGGTGTTGTGTTCATTAAGGAAAACCCGGGGCATTTCGGGCTGTGGACACGTGCGGACTGGGACTCGCCAAGTGGGGAGCGAGTTTCGTCTGGGAACACCTCCGGAGACCTTCAACATCGACAGCAGCTGGTGTGGCCGACGCGAGTCTGGGCCCTCAGCGTAGCCGTGATCAAAAGAACCGCCAAGGGGATCGCAGAGTGAGGAACACACGCCTCACCCGACCCGAGTCGGAGCTGAGCCAAGCGTTCAAGCGGCTAAGCCTAGCGAAGCGGAGTGGGAGTGTTCGCTCAGTGGAAGGAGCTGAGCGGAACTCCTGCAGCGCTAAGCAGGGCTGAGTCAAGTGGTGCAAGGGCTGAGCGAAGACCTCGGTCGAGCGGTCTAGCAACCTGAGCAAAGAGCACGGGCGCTTCGTCGCACGTGGTGCGCGTGCCCGGATCAGGGATACGACTTTGGACGGACAAGCTACAGTCATGTCGACTGCTGCTGATTCGAAGGAAACCAAGACTGGAGGTGAGAAGAGCGAGTCTTCGCTTCGGCGAAGTTTGAGAGTGGCTGGATTGCCAGCCGAGGTGGTGCCGACGGAGTCTGGGACGCCCAGGGCGAGAAGATCGACTGCGGGAGCCCGGACGCCCAGTGCTGAGGGAGAAGCTGCGTCGTCAGGCGAGGCTGCGCCAAGCGCTGAGCCGGAGGTGCCACCAACGACGGAAACTGCTGTGCCGCCGCCATGTTCGCCCGAGAGGAAGAAGTCTGAGAATGAACAAGGTGGCGGAGCGGTTGCTCAGCCGAGCGCTCGTGTTGGTGAAAGTCTGAGCCTGAGAGAGCCTGCTGTGAGTCGAGCGTTGACGCCGCGCAGGACTTCTGAGACTGCGACTGCAACTTCTCAGCCGCAAGGTGTTAAGCCGGAGCCAACTGCTGCGGATCTCCGCAGTGGCCAAGCCGAGGGTGGTGCACTGAGCGTGCTGGGAAGCCGAGCGATGCAGCTGCGAGATCAAGGTGCTGCTGGGACTGGGACAGGCCCGGTCCAGTTCAGCTTTATTCCGGAGCTGGATACGTCGGAGCGTCAACTGGTGGCGGAGCCTGGTCAAGTTCACTCTGGCCGGACCAACGCCCCTACCAGAGGCTGAGAGAAGTCCCCGAAGGAGCGGAAGCTGACAGCCGCGCCTTGGCCCAGCTGTCCGAGCTGTCCGAGGTTGAGATGCTCGCGTACGGCCGAACTCAGTTCGAGATGTGGATGTCTGTGCCTGCTGGAGTCGTGCACCCGGTGGATGTGGCCTATTCGCCATGTCATGGAGGCTGCGATCTCTGGGGTTTCATCCGAGCGGCTGGAGCTACGGCCAGACACTTGATGTCTGTGACTCGGTCGCCCGCTGCGAGATGGCTGAACGTGTTCCACGCTGAACGTCGACGGAGCCCTGTCGTCTCCGACCTGAAGGCAGTGCGCGTGGCACTGAGACTGATGCCGCCCATTGCATGCGTCGCTCTGTTGCAGACGATGCTGCATGAAGCTGGCTATGAGTTCCTGAACCAAGTCTCAGTGTGGCACACGCTGTCTGAAGTCGCCGGAGTCCCGGATTCGCAGATCCGGTTTGAGATCTAGCGCATCGCCCGATTCCTCGGAGCTGAGCTCAGAGCCTGGAAGGCTGCGGTCGGTTCAACCCCATACTACGTGAGGCCGACCTCAGACCCTCCGCTGATGGCCGCTCAAGCTGCCGAGACCCAAGTTGGATTCCCTCTGGACAAGGATGGAGACGCGATCATGGATGAGGATACTCAGCTGTTCCTGGGACCTGAAGTCGTGATGCGCCTTCAGCTCACTGGTCTCAGACCTCTGAGTCCGACCTCAAGTGTCGAAGGCGAGCCGTCTCGAAAGCGTGCATTGCTGACGAGGTCTTCTGCTAGTGGCTCAATCCTGAGCTACCACGAGTCTGGCGAAGCTCCTGCTGAGACTGCGCTCGGATTCCGAAATGACCAAGTGCCCAGCATGGTTGGTGCAAGCTCTGGTTCCGACATGTCTTTGATGGTCACGGATGAAGGGGGAAACCTGTTTGGATTAAGTTCCTCTGGTTCCTCTCTGATGTCTATGACTGACTACATGGTTGGGACTGGGACGCACATGCCCATGTCGACGGCGACGGTGATGCGAGGCTCAGCTACGACGATGTCCCGCGGTTCATTCCCGGGAATGACGATCTCGGTCACGCCTCAGCTTACTCAGGCTGGTCCCGTACCGGCCAGAGCTGAGCAGGGGCTGTATCGACCTGAGCATCCAGCCCAGATACCGCTGCCCGGCAGTCCTGAGTCCAAGCGTTCAGCCCCGAAACAAGCTGAGACCCGACAAGTGCGGCCCACGGGATTCCGGTTCACACATCCATCAGTAATCGGTTCCGCTGGGACGACGACTTCGGATGACTTGCCCTCAGTCGAGCGAGACTACCGGCGAGCCCTTCAACAGAGTGAAGCTACTGCCTGGGCCCGCCTTGATGCAGAGCAGAACCAACGCCGAGCCCTTGAAGCACGATTGAGCGCCGCTCTGACCGACAACCAGGCGGAGCGAGCCCGACTGCAGGAGGAGTACCGGAAACTTCAAGCGACCAACGTTCGGATGTCTGAGGCCCAACAACAGGCTAAGACGGAGCAGCAGAAGCAGCTTGAAGCCTTGGAGAAGCTGGACCAGCGCCGCGCCGCCGAAGAAGCTGATAAGCACAAGGCGGCCGAGGTTCGAGCTCAGCAACTGCTCCAAGTCCAGAAGGCGCTCCAAGAGGCTGAGGTTAGGGCTATGCAAGCTGAACAGCGGAAGGCGCAGGAAGAACGAGCTGCCGAGATCAAGACCGAGCACGAGCTGGAACTGCTAAGGCTGAAAGAGAAGCATGCCCAAGCAGAGGCAGAGCACGAGCGGACCATGCAGGAGCAGGAGGAGAAGACCCGCCAGCTCCTTGCAGCCCAGGAGCAGCCCAGTCTATATCCTGGCCCCGCCGCTTCGACTGCTGGACGTGTGCCAATGCCAGCGGACCCACCGGTCCCAGCACCTGTCGTGTCGGCTCGATCGCCGACCGATCCGGTCCTGGCGCAGTTAGCCCAGCTCACGAGCGTGATGCAGCAGTTAGTCCAGGCCAACCAAGTCAAGCCTGAGGTGGCTGGTATGAGCCGCGGTGCTGGCAAGACCCAAGGTTCGGCCAAGCGTGCTGAGACCAAGTCTAAGCCTCGTGCATCAAGCGCGACGTCTGGCGCGAAGGGCAAGGCTCGGGCGACCAAGCCCGGCAGGCCCGGAGGCTCGGACGAGGACGACTCTGACTCAGATGACTCAAGCTCGAGTGACTCGTCGCAAGATGAGCTCGAAGGACAGTTTGGTGCTGTGGCGCAGCCCAAGGGAACTGATACCAGTTCCGGAACTCGTGTGGTCGTTCAAGCGATGATTCCCCATGATGCTTTGGAGAAGTTCGACGAGAAGGGACCGCTGGAGGACCGAGTCAACTGGTGGGAGAGGTTCATGTACTACGCTACGATGGCCCCCTGGGACGAGAAGACCCGGGTGGTCCACCTACGCGTGAGACTCACTGGTTCCCTCAAGGATTGGTGCGCTCAGCTACCGGATGACGTTCGCTCGGACTGGAAGAAGTTGTCTCACGTCTTCAAGAAGGAATGGTGCCGTACGCTGAGCTCCAAGGCTGAGCGGTACTACTCGATGGAGATGAAGGACTCCGATACACCTCGGATGTTCTTCTACCGTCTGAAC